GAAAGATCTATAAGCGAACAATCTTTAAAGCAAAAGTTTCCAATCATGTTCACATTCCTCGTTTTGGCTTCCACTGTTGCTTTCGCACAAACTTCTGTCGACTGCGTTGCATACTATACATTGAACCAGGCAAGTCTGGTTGACCCCAGCCAGATCCAGTACTGTGTTGCGCAATGCAATGAAATGCCGACTGCTGGTACCTGTCCTGAGGGTTCTCCTGTCACCGATTGTGTGCAGTCCCTGGACGCGTGCAAGTTCGTTCAAGGAGGCGAAGCTGTAGACAACGGCGAGGCTGCAGAAAGTGCACCTACCGAGTCTGGAGAAGCTGGAGAAGCTGTTGAAGGTGGTGAAGTCGCACCTAGTGAAGCTGTTGAAGGTGGTGAAGTCGCACCTAGTGAAGGTGTTGAAGGTGGTGAAGTCGCACCTAGTGAAGGTGTTGAAGGCGGTGATGTTGTACCTAGCGAAGCGGTTGAGGGGGGTGAGAGCGCACCCGTGGAAGCTAGCGACGCAGTTGAAGGTGACGATGTGGAGGGGGGAAATACAGACTGGGAGGTTGTGGAGGGGACTGATGAAGAGGTCGGCGGAGATGACGATGCTCCGATCATGCCGAAGACAAGTGGTGAGGCTCTTCGTATTCTGACCGGGTCTGTTGTTGCTCTACGGCTAATGATGATGCTCTAAGATCGACGTCAGGGGAAGTCTCCTTTTTGCGTGAAGTATACACCCATTTCAAAAGAAGTATAACCATACAGTTAGTTACTTTTAGTTCTGCAATATAGTTTTGGACCACACGTCGACAGTTACCGGGAAATCAGAAGAGTAGTTTTGAGACCAGCCGTCACTCGGCTTCGGAAAGAATATAAGTGAACAATCCTTAAAGCAAAAGTTTACTATCATGTTCAAGTTCCTCGCTTTGGCTTCCACTATTGCTTTCGCACAAACTTCTGTCGACTGCGTTGCATACTATACATTGAATCAGGCAAGTCTGGTTGACCCCAGCCAGATCCAGTACTGTGTTGCGCAATGCAATGAAATGCCGACTGCTGGTACCTGTCCTGAGGGTTCTCCTGTCACCGATTGTGTGCAGTCCCTGGACGCGTGCAAGTTCGTTCAAGGAGGCGAAGCCGCAGACAACGGCGAGGCTGAAGAAAGTGCACCTACCGAGTCTGGCGAAGTGGTCGGAGGGGGCGACCAGGAGGAGGCCGTCGTTACTGAAGCTGAAAATGTGGACGGGGGGGCTGGCGGGGAGGTTGTGGTGAGCGCTGAAGGAGAGGATTCTGGAGAGGATTCTGGGGATGACACCGCCGCCCCTAAGACCAGTGGCACCGCTCTTCGCGTCCTGCTGACTGGGTCGGTGGTCGCTCTTGTGCTTGTGATGTAAGCCTCAAGATGAAGTGCTTCCGGGCAGAAGGTTGAAGTTCGGTGAAGTCTCTTGAGACTTTCCCAAATGGGAGAGGATCACAAAAGATGGTCTCAAGGCGCCGGTTAGTGTTGTACAATCCAGTTTTTGTTATGTACTCGTTTTGTTATATATTCTGCGCTGTTCGTTTATTCTTCGCTGCGCTTGACGGTTTTTGCTTGACCAAAAACGACGAGCCGTCACGGCATGTTGGATCGGTTCGTTGTTGTGTTCAATATTATGTTTAAGATTCTAGCTGCAGTGTCCACGGTGGTTTTGGCACAGACTTCTGTCGACTGCGTTGCATACTATACATTAAATCAGGCGAGCTTGGTCGATCCCAGCCAGATCAAGTACTGCGTCGCTCAGTGCACTGAAATGCCGACTGTTGGAACGTGTCCTGCGGGTTCTCCTGTTACCGACTGTGTGCGATCTCTGGACGCGTGCAAGTTCATTGAGGAAGGTGAAGCTGCTGAGGGTGGCGACGGGGAAGAATCCGCTACCGAAGGCGAAAAAGCAGAGGACGAGGTTGTTATCGGAACCGAAGCAGAGAACGCCGGAGCGGACGCAGGCGGGCCCAAGACCACTGGGGCAACGATGAACGTCTTGATCGGCTCGGCTGTGGTGCTGTCGCTTGTTATGTAAGGCGAAAGATCCTTCACCTCATTCAACTAAAGTTTTGTCACCCAGCCAGGTCGCCGACTTCGCAAAACCGCGAAGTAGTCATTGACGTTCTACAACATAGTTCATTCGATTTGAGTATGTTGAAGTGTGCGGCCGCAATGCCGACCGGGTTGTACCCGACCGGACGGGCTGTGCCATAAAAATTGCAAGGGCTGTTAATTGCGCTAGGTGTTTTCGACCCGTTAAACCTAGCTCGATAGAAAGGCTTGAAGAGCCCAATCCAAACAAATAGAGACCCAAATTGGGGCCTCGTTACTCGGGTCTTGTTACCACTTGGCTTTGCAAATGCTGCTTGGACAACTTGGGACATCACGTCGCACAGAGAACGGTCAATTAAAGAGTTTTTTTTTGTTTTTACACAACGAGAAACTTTTCAGTTGCATTCAACACTCGCCATCAACCCGTTATCAGCTAGCTAGTTCGAGTTCATTCATCAATAGTTTATCATGGTTCGCCCGAGTCGTTCCCCTGTTCACAAAACATTACTGCGTCCATTATTTCTTGACTTGATAAGCTTGCCACACCAATTCTGAATCGGGATAGAGATCTTGAGCTCCCTTTCTCAGGAACTCTCTTAGCTCTAGGAGCCACTGGGTGCTTTGGGCGACCACCGACAAATGGAACTTACGATTAGTTTTCCCTTCTCTAATCATGCTGCCTCGTTCGCCAGGTTCATTCTGAACCCACGGAGGAAGCATGGCATATGAGTGCCCGGTGCTTTCAGCAACAAAGACGTAATCACTGATACATGGTTTGTCATCAGGACACTTCCATTTTTGGACACCGTTCACCGTCCTGCTTCCATATTTCCGAATAAACTTCTCCATGGCCCTCCGATGCCAGACATTGAAGACGTTTCCCCAACCGCCACTAAACCTTCCTAGTATGGGGGCATTTTCCCAGGCGCCATAGCTCTCCAGCAGTGATTGTCTGTATTCATCACCCAGTTCTTGCACAAGTTCTCTCAGCCGATCGAACTGACTCAGTTTCATCTTATACAATCTATCTGCAGGAACGCTCCATTGTAACCGTAATACCTCCCAGTCCGGATCCGCCTCATTAAGCTGGTTTATCATCCGGTCCAACGTAGAAGGAAGAATCCCACATAAGGGTACCCCCACATCGTCCTCAGTGAGTATCATATACTCGTAACCTTGCTCAACTCCGTACTTAAAGGCGTCTAACATCGTGAGACAGCACCCGACCTCACCCGGAAAGGCTTTGAAATGGTTCTTAGTGGCGGAGATCAGTTTCTCGTTCGAAAATTCGTCTGCGTCGAAGCCGTAATCCAGACGGGCCAACAATTCTGTAGAATTCCGCCCATCAACGGACCGAATTCGAGTAGCTTCAGGGAACATCTCTGTCAAACGCATCCGACGCTCAACTTGATGGTCCAGATTCATATACACCATCGGGACGTTCTCAAATCCGCATCTAAACAGGTCGGTGTATGCTGTCACTAAACTGAAACGGAACAATATCGGACGGAGAACAAGATGCGAATGGCGCAAGAAAGCGTGCGGACCCAGGATTCCCTAAGCGTTTACCTGACAGTTGCGAAAATACGCATAAGAAGAACTTCGAACACGTGTGTGCGCGCGGTGTGCGCGCGCGCGGTTACGAGTCGAGAGCACAAAACAGTCAGCAGAAGACGTTAGGATAGCAGCTTGGAACAGTCCAGGACATTAATTAGTGGGCCATGGCACAGAACAAATTGCGCCAGTACCCGGGTGTTAAGATGGAACATCCACAACTTCATATCAACAACCACATCTCCGTGGTCCGTGGTTCGTAGCGTTGGTAAGCAACTGTACCTGCATAACTTATGGAGCAGTAGCCGGAAAGCGTCTGATGCCTTCAAGTAGTAATCCAGCGAATATTTCCGTTTGGAATAGAGACAGACAGACTTCTCTGGACGGGATTATCTTTCTACCTAACAGAAATTGGCCCCAAATCAGTGGGGCAGATCCGTGTCATTATTCAGGCTATCGTGTGGGACCGCTAGGCTTTCGGTGCACTGGATTTAGCATGGCTGAGCAGGGCAGGGCAGGGCAGGTTACTCAAATCAAAAAGATGAAAAGAAGAAGTGCAAGCAACCAAAAATTGGCGCGCCTGCAGCACGACCGCGACCATGACTGCTGGACTTGACTGGCTTGCCACATCCATTCCGGGTCGGGATAGAGATCTTGAGCTCCCTTTCTCAGGAACTCTCTTAGCTCTAGGAGCCACTGGGTGCTTTGGGCGACCACCGACAAATGGAACCCATGATTAGTTTTCCCTTCTCTAATCATGCTGCCTCGTTCGCCAGGTTCATTCTGAACCCACGGAGGAAGCATGGCATATGAGTCATGCTTTGTCGTCAGGACATTTCCATTTTTGCACGCCATTCACTGTCCTGCCCCCGTATTTTTGAATAAACTTTTCCATGGCCCTCCGATGCCAGACATTGAAGACAGTGCCCCACCCGCCGCTAAATCTTCCTATTATGGGGGCATATTCCCAGGCCCCGTAGGTCGCCATGAGTGACTGTCGATATTCCTCACCGAATTCTTGCACGAGTTTTCTCAGCCGGTCGAACTGGCTCACTTTCATCTTATACAAGCTATGTGCAGGAACGCTCCATTGTAACCGCAATACCTCCCAGTCCGGATCCGCCTCATTAAGCTGGTTTATAATCCGGTCCAACGTAGATGGAAGAATCTGACATAAGGGCACCGCCACATCGTCCTCAGCGAGGATCATATACTCGTAACCCTGTTCAACCCCATACTTGAAGGCGTCAAACATCGTGAGACAGCATCCTACTTCACCCGGAAAGGCTTTGAAATGGTTCTTAGTGGCGGAGATCAGTTGCCCATTCGAAAATTCCTCTGCGTTGAAGTCATAATCCAGCCGAGACAACAATTCTGTGGAATTCCTTCCATCAACGGACCGTATCCGAATAGCCTCAGGGAACATTTCTGTCAAACGCATCCGACGCTCAACTTGATTATCCAGATTCATATACACCATCGGGACGTTCTCAAATCCGCATTTCCACGATTCCGTGTATGCTGTCACCAAAGTGAAAACGAACGGCACGAGGATGGCACGTAACATGTGAAAACACGCCCCGTGGTGAGGCAACGAGATAAAAATCGCATGAAGCCCGCACACCCCTTTAACGTCCTACGGCGTAAAATCGTTCAACACGTTTTTCTCTGATACCGTCTTAAGCCCTCCTTCTCTCTTTATTATGTTGGTCGCTGTGTTCTTGCTCTACCGGCGTCAGCGCGCCGATTTGGTGGACGACCTCCTGGGTAAGGCCGAAAGACGTGAAGTGCCCTTAGATTTGACCGCAGTTGTTACCGAGCCTCCTCAAGTACTTACTGCTATAATTAGTTCGGCTGACACCGCCTTAGCTGTCATGAACAATAACCTTAACTCAATCTCTTCTACCCCTACTGGCTTCCTTGCCGCCCTTGCTAACCCCGACTCGACAAGAAACGCCCCGAGCCCTACAACCAATCCAAGTTCCGTTTATCTCTGGGTCATGAAGCCCCATTACCGTCAGCAAGCAATTGAAGATACCGACAACTACATGACCCAGCAGCCCTTGCCGTCTTCAGTTGTTGTCGGGCTGCTGTTCATTCGTCCACTGAACACTCTCCTGCATATTTTACTCCGCGGCCCAGTCTCACCTAACGCTCAAGACTACCGACTCGTAGGCAAAGAATCCGCCAAGCCGCTTCTTTGCCTTGGGTGAAATACGACTTGAGTGCGCATTGAAAAACTTCGAACAGGTGGGATAAAATACTCCAGAGCACGGTCTCACCCCGCCAGTTTTAAATCAATCAATGTCCAGAATCTGTTACTTCTCCTGCAACTCAGATATCATGAATTATCGATTTTCATTGAAGGACACAATTGTTTGCAGGATGATTAGCACCACAATGCCATTCACCTTCTGTTAGGACTTTTCAGCGAGTTACCTCCCAGATCAAATCCCTAGTTTTTGACCCATATTGCTGAGTTGTTTTAAGTACTCACATCTATCCAGATTGGCAGTCTCGCATAATCTTCACGGACGCGCGCTCAGCAAGAATCACTTACCACGCAGGACCCGGATGGATTGTCCATGACTCAACACCGCTAGTGAGCTTGTTGCGACAGAGACGGGAAGGGCGGGGCCTCTCTAAGCAATGTAGGAGCGCGGTCATGCAGCTGCACCCCCGTCATGGCTAACAAGAGGAACAAGTCGCGGAAAGGAAAAGTTAGTTCCAAACAAAGAAAGACTCCGAAGCAAGAAGGGTCGGTTCAAAACGAAGAAATCCTCGACGAGACCTCCGACGTTCACCACTCCGCCTCAGATGACCATGGACTCTCACGTGAAGAAGCACATGTGGAAACCATACGTGCTCGTGCGAAAAGCCAGATCCGGTCAGATGAAGGACCCATACCCTCGGCACCGTGTCCAGTACGTCATAGAATGGCGGTAACGGATGAGGCGATCCCACCCGTCCTTCGTTATCAGCCGAGTCATATGGGCGGAGCCTTTGGTGGCGCCGAACAACAAGGAGTCGAATCAGGGAACATTGTTCAAGGAAACATTGAGCCAGGGAACATTGTTCAAGGAAACATTGAACCAGGAAACAGCGAGCCGCCCAGTTTGCTTCCTGAACCGCCGAGTCCGTGTCCTGAACCCCCCAGTCTCTCTTCTGGACCACTCAGTCTCGCTGCCCAACCGACCAGTCTCTCTCCTGGACCGCCCAGTGTTTCTCCTGCAGTCGTGATGACTGGAACCCCTCCCGGATTCGAAGGGCTCCACGGGACCGTGGCGAGATTGAACTCGCCGGGGGGCTCGCCGAGATCCATGAGGACGACATCACGGTCGCCGGCTCAGCCCTCGTCGGAGTTGAATGGCTTCCCGGGCACGTTATCGCAGAGGGCGCCGGCTGAGTTGTCCCGTGCCGAGTCTCCACCTCAACTCCAGCAGAATGATGTCCTTCGCTCAGTTCAAGCAGATCCCGCGGCGGCTGCGGTTCCCTTTGACGCTGGCCCCCTGTCAAACGCTGCTCCGCCGTCCGGCGCTATCCCGCAGTCTGACGCCGCTCCGCTGTCTCATGTTGTATCTCCACTCGAGGCTGCCCCCGGTGAACGCCATTATAGCTCAGTCGTGGATCGAGGGCCGGTGCCTCAGTACTCCGGACAGCCCCCGTTACCGTCTGGACCTCGGGCACAAGAAGACGTGCCTTCTTCGCAAAATTGGTTGCAGTCGTTCTCCGACGGCGTCTTGAACTCCACACCCGAACCTCCCGTGGAACTCATGAGCTTCATGCCCAGTCCACAGCCCTCACCTCGCTCGGCAACACAGTTGCAAACCACGCCCTGGCCGGAAGCCAGGACATTCGAATGCGTAAGGGGCGAAGAAGTAGTGGGCGAAGATGCGATAATGATACCCGATGGCGCAATGCCAGCGAACACGAACCACTTACCAAGGGTAGACCACTTACCGTCATTGATCCCCTCCACGCCAGCGGGGCAGCCCTTGTACCACGTCGTTCCTCAGGGGGCACATACTCCCGACTTTAACAACCCGCGCGCTCGTGCGTCGACCCCATCCGTGTTGCCACCTGTCTCTCCATCTAATGCCCAAATGAATCGCTCCCCCCACGGCACCTCATCCCCAGCCGCCGGAAGGCTACCTGTTGAAACGCCAGCCGCGGGAACTCCAGTCGCAACGCCAGCCGCGGGAACTCCAGTCGCAACGCCAGCCGCAGGAACTCCAGTCGCTGAAAGGCCGGCGCCAGTAGGCCAACTGCCGTCCGTCAGGTCCGTTCTCGCCCAGTCGTCCCCTCAGAGAGTATCCTCCCAGAGAGTATCCCCTCAGGGAATATCCACCCAGAGAGTGCCAACACCGCCGCGCCATTCTTCTCCCCAAACGGCAGACCAGCCGCAGCCATCAATAGCGACTCCGCTCCAGGCGGCTCAGTCTTGTCATGTGCACACGCAGGACATCGCACAGCAGCAACAGGCTGCAGGGAGCGTACCGTCTGTTCACTCCCCTCAGTCCCGTCATCTTCATCAGCCCGAGAATTCTCCTCATGACCTCGAGGGTGTTCGGGATCCCGAGTGCACTGACGATCTTGAGGGGCACCGTTGCCATCCCGAACAACCTCGGAGTCCGAGCGTTTCGCGAGATGAAGCGCACAGGCATCTCGTTTCAGCGAATAGCATTTCCCCTGGTAGTCCAGGGGAGTTGATGCAGTTGTGGGTGGCGCGTGAGGAGAATCTGAAGAGGCGAGAAAGGGAATACCGCGAGTACTGTGCAAGTCTGGAGAAGACGGTGCGTCGAGTGCAGGCAGAGTTGAGTGCGCAGGCACAGGAGATCCGAGCAGCGGCGAAGGTCATTAGCAATTCTCAATTCGTCAAGTTGTTTGAGGAATTGCGAAGGAATCCGTCACTTCGAAGTAACCCCTTGACAGCATCCACCAGAGGCGTACAACCCCCCAAGGAGAAGTCCCCATCCTCTAGTGCGGGTGGATGTCCGTCAGCGGGTCCATCCGAGTTTGAGTTGTCAAAGTGGGAGCGATATAAGGATTATCTTCAAGAGCGCGAAACACGTTTACAGCTTAGGGAGGAGCAGTTGATCAAACTGCAGCGGGCAACCAAGCAGCAAAAGGAAGAAGTGGAGTTGTTGAGTGCAGCTCTGGAGCGGGATTTACAGTATATTGAACACAAGGAACGGTTTCTTCAAGACGCAATCGAAACCGTGGAAGCTTGTATCGGAAAGGACGTGTTTCGAATTCTGATAGGGCATCCGGAGGAGCCGGCCATTCCGGGCCGAGGACTCAGCCTAGGTCGACACACTCCAGCATCCGTTCGGCCACTGCCCGCCACGACCAACTGGTTTCCTGAAGACACCGAGGAAGTGCCAGGTCTTCCGACGCCGCTCCACTTGGCAGACAAAATGCCAGTCAGGAAGCCAAGTCCACCTCGAGGTGTATTGGAATGGTTGTGATGGGCTCTGTGTGTGCAAGGGACAGTGCGTGGTTAAGGGGAACTGTGTGCGTAAGGGACACTGCGAGCAGCGTAAAGTGGAGAGTCAGTTAGTGACCAGTTATAAGCCGACTGGTCCTCGGTCGGAACTGCAGTTTAGTCGCCGTGCCGTGGACGCACCCGGATTGGTGGTAAACGGGCCGGATCGATAACGGCAAGTTGATAGCCTCGAGTTGTGCGACCGAGTGCAGTTGATGACGCCAAATTCACTTGTGGAGAATAAGGAAAAGCATGATGCCCAAGACGAGTGTCCCGGTGCCGGTGAACAAAGCCAGCACTGAACTAGCCAGCACTGCATGGTCTTGGATGAGACCAGTTAGTCCGCCTGCATGTGTGATGATTCTGAGCGTTGGTTCCAACAGGTCAACCTCCCAGTCTGATGGTGTCTTAATCAGCTCTGTCACAAGTTGCGGTTCAATTCTCAGCTGTACCGTTGACTCAGTAAGCGTTTGTCTGTGTACCTTAGACAAGATGTCAATACTAGCCAGCACCCTTCTCTGGCACCATCCGAGGGACAAGATGTTCTGCACCCAGGGCTCCAAGGCTTGTATGCCAAGCGTGAGCAGATCAGAGACGACAAAATTGAGGGAACACATGGCATTTTGTAAAGGACTAATTCGCTTAGGTACATACAGCTTGTTCAATCTAACTACCATTGACCCTTCCGAGTTGTACAACGTGGTGTACAGTGCCAAAGTATTGTACCGCAGAAGCTCGAACCGGTCGTAAACCATTCGAAGCTGGACTGCCGCAACATCGTTCTCGCTTTTGAATATCCAATTTATTGCAGACCTCGGCCATCTGAATCCTGGCAGAAGCCACTTACGTCCAGGCAGCAACTTGCGTCCTAGTCTCAGGATGTGGAATACGACTTTCACTGGTGTAATGACACATTCCCTGAGAAACACCCAGGCGATCCTTCCATATCGGCACCCATAGCGGTACCAGTCGTAACGGGACAACCCATAACCCCGGAGTCCATCTTGGCTGCCATCTTGGCGTCCATCTCGGCTGCCATCTTGGCGTCCATCATGGCTGATGTTCCCATTTCTGATTCCCATATTATCGTTAGTTCCGAACCTCCCACTTTTGTCGCTCTCTCCGCTTAATGAAGGCCCATACGTTGCTGATCCCTGGCTGGTCGTTGATGCCGAAAATCCGAGGCCATAATTATCGGCAGGATACTTCTCGGCAATGCGATCATCTTGCGCGGTTTCATCTGAAGTCTTCCTAGCAAACCAGTCAGAACTGGCCGAGGGGTACGGCAGAGTATTGTTCCCATTTATACTAATCCATGCAACAGCTGCCACGGGATGAGATTGGCTGCGGAAAACCAACTTGTCCATATCTTGAAGAATGAACTTCCCAAAAGGCGGGGCAGGGGATAAAGGGTCATTAAGTTTTTGCCATAAGTGATCTTGTTGGGATACTACAGGTGGTGGAGATCGGTACATGTAACCTGTAGCATCAAATTGAATGAATGGCTTGTAGTCAAAGTTGATGGCATAGTCGCTGATCTTTACCGGATTCTGAATGGTGTAATAGCTAGCCAGCCATGTACCTATACCAACCGCGAGTGAGGCGGACAAACTAATAAGTCCAAGGCCGCAGTACCAGATTATCCATAACATTAATAATGTCCGACAAAAGTGAGCTTCTGGAGAGCGCGCACACGTGTGTTCGAAGAGGGCACACACGCGCGTTCGGAAAGTCATCGACCGCCCCAGTGAAGGCGCGGCCGCGAATCTGGGGACAATACTCTGCCGCGGATTTCTCGGCGACGACTTGGTATTTGCGCAGATGGAGAAACCCGGGAGATTGACAGACTAGTTAGCGCCATGAGAGAGAGGGAGAGTGTTCAGCACACTATCAGTAAACTTAAACTTATACTCGAGGACCCAGCGGAACTATCGGAGCGTAAGACATGAGCGTTTAAACTACTTACTGTTCTCAACAGGTAAATCGGAAGCTTGGATTGAGTTGACCAACTTGAGGTTAACTCAGCCCGACGCTTTCAAGGACCTGACAACAAATCTCTATATCACCAATCTAGCACCTTCCGTTACAGAGGACGTGTTGCGCACCGTATTCAGCAAACACGGCAGGGTAACAAGTGTTAAGATCATGACCTATCCGACGCACAGGACAGGTTTTGTAGCATATATGACAACAACTGAGGCGGAAAGGGCGAAAAATTATTTGAACGGCTTCGTCATTGATGGATCCGCTCTCTCCATTGTTTGGGCTCGTCACGCTCCTGCGATTCCGGCGCCCAATTTCGTACCCCCTCCGTCCATTCTGAATGGCCTAACGCCTGGTGGTACAGCCGGCCCCACTGTTGCAAATTTAGACTCGTTTGGAATGCACACTATGACGGAAACGCCGACAGGCCCGGCTGCCGCTTGTGTGACTCCACCCTGTTTAATTATTCCGGCTCCACCATGCGCCGGTACTACAAGCCTCGGCGCCGACGTTGTCATTGTGCGGCCTCCTTCAGATCCCACGGTTGCCAGCTTAATCGATAGATTTGCAAAAGTTGTAGCGCAGCATGGATCAGCCGTGGAGCAGGCAGCGCTTGTCAAGGAGCAAGCAACACTTGTCAAGGAGCAAGCAACACTTGTCAAGGAGCAAGCAACACTTGTCAAGGAACAAGCAGTGCTTACTACGCCGCATTCGAAAGAAGAGACATTAGTAGAGAGCAATGAGAGTTATCCGTGGATACACCCAGAGGATATCAATCACTACTACTATCTTTGTCGAGTTGTTTGTGAATGCTACTGGCAGCGGAATTTGCCGCCGCCTGGCTACATTAAGTTAGGTAAGGTGTTGTTTCGTTACGAGCACCCTAGTCAGCCCCTGGTGAGTATGGGTTACGATGCGAAACTTCGTCAAGAATATAACCGATTGGATGACGAAGCTGTCCTGACGAAGACTCTAGATTGCGTCGGGGACCCGTTTGCGGATGGCGTCGGTGCATTGGTTGCGAAGTTCAGTTGGGTTCTGAAGAACATTGATCGAACAAACGATTCGGTTAAGTTGCTGACAGCAATTGCGATTCGCCTGAATGCCCCCTTTGTAGTGCACGCAATCGTGCATTGGGTCTTGCAATCGGAAGTTGACCAGAAGGTTGCTTGCATATACGTGTTGAATGATCTGTTGTGCAATGTTGCTAGCGACACTAGTCGTCAGTGGAACTTTAAGGTAACCATTTTGCAAAGACTCCCTGAGGTCTTTGCGCATCTGGGCTCTTATAGTGACGAGACGGTGGGCACTAAGATTTCTACTGTTTTGTCTGTATGGCGGGCTTGCTCGCTCTTAAACAAGACCTACTTGGATGGTTTAGAGTCCCTCTTCTACCCGAAATTATTTTCTTCTTTGAGAAATCAAGTCCCCTGGACGGGCTCGACAGCTGCAACAGATGAGTTGGAGAGACGAGACGTGGACGGAATTCCTCTGGTGGATGAAGACCTGAGACTAAACTTAAAAGCCTTGCCGTACTGGGCACGTCGTGAATTTTATGATTGGTATCGGGTGCGCGATGACCTCTGGGCATTGAGATCAATATGCGACGCAAATGGGGTGAATTGGGGACTGCGGGATACTTCCCCTGTGCTCCTGCGTCGCTTGCTGGATAAACACATATACTGTTGCAGCCGACTGGATGAGTCGGGAAAAATCGACGAGGTGGGAAGCCTGCCTTGGGGGCCCAACATGAAAGGCATTAACCCCGCTGTCGTGCTGGCCCGCCGCACTCTGGGCGTCCACAAACCCGTCCACACCCAGCCGGCCGTCAAGACGGAAGGAATAAAGGATGACGCACCGAAGGGGTACAAAACGAACGTGAGCACGGACACAGTTAGCGTTGCGGCCGTGCTGCTCGGCCAGACTCCGGTCCTGAGGCCGACGATCAGTCTAGAAATGAGAAGGGAAATGACACCGCTCCAGCAGCATTTCTCAAGTCGTTCTTTGTGTCAACCACGGAGCAATTCCTTTCGCACAGGTGTCGACTCCGCCAGTCCGGCGATAATGAAGTCGGGCGACTACGCGGGGACGGTCAGTGGCGTGTCCGGGGACGCCGCAGTGCATACGTTTGTAGAACAAGAAAAGTCGCCCGTCGGGCTCACTCCGGCACCGAATGATTCGCGTGTTACGGTAGAAGGTCGTGACGGGCTTTCGGGCAGCGTTGCGGACCAGCCACCGATAACAGACGACTCCGTACGGAACCCTCTCGTCACATCTAGTGGTGGCTTGGAGGATGTGGACGGCGTGGTATCCGACCAGTGTGTCTTGGACATGGACTTGGGTAGCAGCCCTGTGGACCGCCTCGCTAATGCTATATTGCGCGAGTACAAAGCAGTGCAATCGTCAGAGGGGCAGCCTGCAGGGTCGGTGACACCCGACGACGACGGTGATATGTTCAGTATCGGTGAAGACAACCCGAGCGAAGCTGAGCCGAAGCAGTCTGCGACCAAGGTTAGCGACCAAATCGGCGTGCTTGTGGAAAAACGGGTTGTTGCCCGACTGAAGGAGCTGCGCGCTGAAGCTGCGATGTCTGAAGATGATATCATGACCGCCACGGATGAATTCCGAATAGCCTTGCAAAGTGTACGTAAGAGCGAGACACACTCTACTTCTTTCTTTGCAGAGAGTTATGGATAAGCTACCCTACCAGACCTGACGCAAGTTTACCCTTCGTAGTGCATGTATCAGGAGCCTTCTGATGAACCTCGTGCCCTGCTGAACCCCGGAGCCTTGATGAACCCGAGCCCTGACGATCCGACTGCGGAAACGGAGTTGACAGGAGCCAGGACCTGGACAGGAGCCAGGACCGGGACAGGAGCCGCGCGCGACCTGGACAGGAGCCAGGACCTGGACAGGAGCCGCGCGCGACCTGGACAGGAGCCACGACCCCTGATATGTTGCGTCTGGTTGGCCAGGCCTGCTTTGATGGCACAGCCGCTGTGAACGCACATTGTCGGGAAGGCCATCCAGGTCCGACACAGGAGACTTCCCCAGCAGTATTTCTCAGTCGAATCAGCTTTCCCCAGTTGACGATATCATTATTGCCTTGTACCGTTAGGCACAGAATCATAGGGTCACAAGGCACTGACATTCTTGGCTAGGGGTATCATTCTTCCCTTGTGCTTATTATGACGGTAGCATTGTTGGAAGCGTCCATGGAGGAGTCTTTGGTAATTTGGAACCTTAGGTCGTCGAGTTCGGTGGCTAACAGAGTTCCCGGGTGTTGTTTGCTTGAGCGTATACAGAGCCACTTTTTGGGAGCCTGTGTCGACATTTTTTGCACGATGAGAATGGACTTGGGGACGGCATAGATGTCCCCTTCGTCGAGTTGCACACCTTGGGGCGGTTTGCAGGGCTCGTAGTAGCAGGCTTCGGACGAGGAGGTGGAGGTGACTGCGAAGCTGCCGGTGGGCAGTTTGTGTCCGGGTAGGGTGAGGATGCCCGTGGCGTACTGCACGCCCTGCAGCTCGGCGTCGGGGATAACGTCGCGCACCTTGGTGATGGTGACGCCACTGGGTTTCTTGCATAGCGTGAGAATCTTCTTCTCATTGATGGGGACGTCGAAGGACTGCTCGACTTGTTCCGAGAAGCTCATCATATGCGAACTGTCTGGCGCCCCGCGCTTGTTGCTACTGCTGGTCTCCTCGGCCTTGACGCCTGTTCGAGCATTCGCCAGGGCCATGGCCTGGGCCTTTTGCGAATCTGTCAAGTCGACGATGGACTTCACTGACGAACTCAAAGCAACCGAACCTAAAGGCTCAATTACCGGCGGCAGTAGCCTCAACCACCGACTTGCTGCATGCTCGTATATACAGGGTTGGTAAGACGTGCACAAATCGTCCCGCTCCTTGGTCAGGATCGTATGAACGACCTTCTCACCCACCTCCACCATTTTTTATTGGGCGAATGGAGGCAGACTCCAAGGAAGCTCCCTTTCGGGACCCAAAACTGAGACCGCACGTGGGCCAAGAGACTGCTGCCCCTCGAGAGACTTCTGCCCCTCGAGAGACTGCTGCCGCTCGAGAGACTTCTGCCCCTCGAGAGACCCAAGAGCGTGCGATGGAGACTGGACTGAAGCGGCCAAGGTACGTTGTGCTGAAAGATGACCCCGGCATGTGGCTGCTGGTCATACACCGGCTGACGCAAAAGTACGCAAGCCCCAAGAATGATATCGCCACTAACGATCTGAGGGATTGTCACTCTGAAAAGAACTATCGGAACATCCATCAAGATCGTCGAACAGGCCATCGGACCGACCAGGGGGTTGGTTGGGAAGGACTCGCCGTTCTAGTCCAAACAAAGTTTAGGAAAGGGATGGCACATATTGAAGATTGTGCTTCGCTTGTGGCCCAGAATACTTGTTCTCGCGCCAGCTTGAATCCTGGTCATAAGGATCACGCGGATATATTGTATTGCTTGCTGGACACCGTGGACCCCGGTCGACTGGTTTGGATCTTTTATGATGATGATGAAAGCCCGATCGCTCTGTTTTACGCTGAGCTTGCCTCTCGACATGGGTTTGAGGTTTATTTGGTTACTGAGACGCCGGAGGAGACCTGGTCCTTATATCCGAGTCCACAGGTGATCTCTTTGGCGGAGAAAACGTGTTACGCTCTACATCTCCTTCGCCCTGCTTTGTTCGACCGTGCTGCTATCACAGCGGATGAAAAAAATATCCTGGAAGAGCTGATACGGCGTCGAACAATTCACGAGGTTATCTGTTTCTGCAGTGACGTTAGGACTATCCTCTGCAGTGACCAGAAGTCGGGTGGCGAGCATGCAGCTACCGAAAGACCTGCAGGACTAAACGATGCTTTGGTCGTGGAGGACGATGCTTTGGTCGTGGAGGATGACGCCTTTGTCGCGGAGGACGACGCCTTTGTCGGGGAGGTCGACGGCTTTGTCGGGGAAGTTTCAAAGCTGAAGAGGGCACTGGTTCAAGCTGCCAAGTTGAGTACGACGGTCGTGACGCGTACCGGGCTGGAGTTGCCTGTGGAATTTGGTGTAAAGGTGCCGTGTTACGGCCGGAAAGAGTTGGTTTGGGGGTTGCAAGAAAAAATCAAGGAAAAGCGTTTCTTCCGGGTCGGACTTACGGGGTATGGGAAGACCACGTTTGCCAAACACTTGGCTGAGAAGTGCGGACTTCCGTTGGTCACAGTCTCCCCATCAGCCATATTCAGCAAGTATGTTGGAGACACTGAAAAGAGCATCAACGCTTTATGTCGCCGAATGATCGAACTGCATAGCGCCTGTTTGTTCTTTGACGACGCTGACGCATGGTTCCATGACCAGAGCATTCCTCTGGAAAAACCCCTCATAGACTTCTATCAACTTCTTCAGGAACACACGCTGAGTGACCCCTCTGCTGTGTGCTGCATTATATACGCCTACACGCGCCCTCCCCCCAGGGCGCCCTCCGACCCCCCGCCACCCGCGGTTAAGTGGTCGCCATCTGTTGCGGAGTCTGCTGCAGAGTCTGTCGCGGAGTGTGTGATCGCTTTGTCCCATCCAGTCGGGTCATCCACTGGCGAACTATCCGTAAAAGCAGGGGAGCAAGCCACGTCTTCCGTGGACATTTCCCTGGAACCAATTGAACTCATTGATCTCCCGCCGCTGGATCTCGAGGCACCCAATGGTATCTACGAGCAAATTGTGACATCCGCTGTACCCCCTGCGTTTCGACCAATGTTAGCAAGTCCGCTGCTGAACTGCTTGAAACAGCGTGGCATCTACACGGCGAACACCGCAGAGTTAGGCATCGCGGTAAACCAGATACTCCTACGGGCTGTCGTCAACGCCCTGAATGCCGCTCCAAATACTAGCGCTACAGCGACCTGCCCCAGTATCGCCACAGCCAACGATCAAGCTGGGCGGGCAAGTGATGCCATACACTGTGCGTATGTCTCGATGAGCGTGCCGACGAATAATCCCGCTAGCGGCCTTCGTCAGAATACCGATGGCCAGAATATCCACAGCGAGAACAGCAGTAGTAAACATGTCCTGAGTATGAATGAAGTCTCGAACATCAATAAAGTCTTGAGTGAACATTCCTGTGAAGCCGCTACTACATGTCAAACTGTCCCGCTAGATACTATATTGAAGCAACTATGTTACAGCGATATTTGTAACCAGATCTTGCATAATCTCTCCTCACGTGGTATTATTAAGGATCTCAATTAGTAATTTACAGCGCTCTGTATCAGATTCAACCGCGGTTGCCCAATCCGTAAGAAGGTGTTGGACAATTTGTATCTCCAATTGAGTGAACGTGATTGCTCTCTGAACTGCGTTCGCCAGGCTCTTAGTACTATCAGGATCAACTAAAGAACCATATATATCGCTATCGGCTAAGTGCTTTTCAGCGCTTATTAGAGAGTATCGTTAGCGTGCGTATTCCCAGAAATAAGTTCAAGATTATGTGCGCCCGGGATCTTACGGCCTTTGAATGTTTCTATGGGACTGTCTATGGAGAGTCCAGCTGTATTGAGTAAGACAGTTGCCCAATTGATAGCATCCTCGCTAGTTTTGGGATCTGAGCAGAGTAGAGTGGTAGCTTTTGCTGCAGCTTGTATTAATCCCTTTTCTGTGGGGTCGCTGATAGTAAATGCCCGTCTCAGTCTTTGCTGATCATCTGTGACTTCCAGAACGCTTAATAACTTTTGTTGTTGCTCATTATGGTCCAAGTTGAAAGTCTTTTTAATTTGGTTAACTTGGGCAGCAGTATAGATATTTCGTTGCTGCAGCACAAGCAGGACACGCGTATGCGCCTGTTTAATCGGGTCAGGTAGCTGTCCCACAGACGGGGCAATAATACGTAGGAAATGACGGAATCCCACCACAGCGAAAGATGCTGGGTCTTTTTGAACTATGTCATTGAAAATATACATGATCCCTAACTTCCCCTGCGGGGAAACGACTCTCTGAATATAGGCATCAGCCATGGCCCGCACCAAGAACCCCGGGTTCACTCTTGTCTTCCACGCCAAACAGCATTCTGATACTCCAACCACGAACTCCTTGACCACGGACGCTTGCTCTACAAAATTTCAAATTTAACCATAGTTCTCTTACTGCAAAGGTCAAACAGCCGGGCAGGCACCCCTTCCACTGGTGTTGAATTTATCAAAGCATGATACTTGTTTTCCATTTATAATTTTATTTAAACACCACGGCGGGCGAAAGTAATGTCCATAATTCGGTTGAACGAAAAGTGGATGCAATGGAACTAGACGGCTAGTTCTGGGAATGGGTAACGAAAGGAACCAGACAAATAATGCCATGCTTTATGGGAGTGCTCGGTGGGAGTACTGAGCGGTGGGTGAGACGGTCACGCCGGTGGGCCGAAAGAGGCGGGTCCGTGAGGAAGATGCTCCCATCTCCGAACCCTCGTTTGCAGCCCAATTTGGCCAGCCCGTCCGTGGTGGTCTAAATGTGGTTGGAAAATGTTTGAGGACCCGACAGTACCGGACGTAAAAAAATGGGGACTACACGGAGCGCGGGGTTGGAGGGTTAGTTCGGGTGGTTGTAGGTGGTGTCTGCAGCTGGGAGTGTATGGGCGGTTGCTGGTCGGCGTTGGCAGAGCCCAATAATTGGCATAAAAAATTTCCTGATGCCTAACTTGCAGGATATCCTCTCAGACGCCGGCGGTAAGGATGACACGATGGTGGGTGGTGGAGACAGGGTTGGACATGGTTTGTTTTAGCTGCGAGAGATGACGTTCGAAGGAACGCAGAGGCTCAGCTGGCGCAGGCGTCGGCTGCAAACTTTCCCGAATATTGCAAGGCATTGGCTTCTGAATTGTGTAATGAGAACTGCACGATTCCCGGGATTCGGCAAAGGGCTGGCTTGGTGTTAAAGAACGCGATTTCTTCGACGGACCCGAAGACCGATGCTGCGTTGCGGGATAAATGGGTGAACATGATGCAGGGACCCGACAAGGAAATGATCAAGCGGTCGGTGTTGGAGTTGGTATTGGTGCAGCAGACTAAGGCGGAAGAAGCACGTCGGACGGCTTGTCAAGTGGCGGCGAAGATTGCTCGGTTAGAAGTGCCACTGAACACGTGGCCGGAGTTCTTCAGCGCGATCTTGATGACGGTGAACTCGCCTGCCCCGACGACCCCTGAGAGTCGCATCGGCGCGTACTGCCTCTTGGGGTACTTTACTGAAGACGTGCAGGGGCTGTGTGAGGAGTGGGGACGGGACTTGATGAGTGATGAGAATAAGGGACTAGTTTTATCGAGCTTGAGCCGCGGCATGACGGATCCGAACTTGGACGTGAAATTGGCTGCGTTCAAGGGCTTCTACCACGGCATCTTGTTCGCCGAGCGATTCGTGGCCCTCGACAGCGACCGTCACCAACTGTTTGTGCTAATAGGAGAGGCACTTAATTGCGACAGAATTGATGTAGCTAAGGCCGCCTGGGAGGTGCTCTTCCAAATGGCGGATGGCTACTACTTGTACCTGGACGAGATTCTGAACGACATCATGAAGTTGACGTACGAACGCTGTCAGGCGCCCGCTGTTGCGCAGTACGAGGACATTGCGCTCTCTGCAATTGAGTTTTGGTCCACCATTTGTGACGAAGAAATTTTGATAGGGCAAGAAAACCGGCCGGAACGTCTTAAGAACTACGTGGCCAAATACAAAGACCACCTGCTTCCTATTCTGTACGAAGCCACCACGTTCCGAGACGACGAGGAGACCGCGGAGGACAGTGACTGGTGTGTCGCAGTGGCTGCGGGAGCGTGTGTAGGATTGTGTGCTCAGGTGCTAAAGGACGATATTCTGCCGAGTGCGCTGTCATTCATTGAAGCCAACTTTGGCAGTCCGCAATGGAATCGTAGGGAGGCTGCTGTGCTTATTTATGGATCCATTCTCGAGGGGCCTAGTAATGATAAATTTGCGCCGAAATTGCGGGCTTCTTTTCCCATGTTGTGTCAAACTCTGAACGACCCTTCCGTCGTGGTACGGGACACTTGTGCGTGGGCTATAGGAAGCATAGCGAAGAATCATCTAAACGTAATTGCGCCCTTCCTTGGACCCGTGAATGGCGAGGGTGGACTGGTCCAGTTGCTGCTACGGAAGCTGGACGATCAGCCCCGTGTGGCCAAAAACGCGTGTTTCGCGCTGTATGAAATTTTCGCCCGGTCGGAAAGCGTCAAGAACATCAGCACATATAGTATCAGCAGTAACTTCCGTCAGCTCTCGGCTGAGCTGATTCAGGTCGCCAAACGACCGGACGGTTCGGAGAACCAGCTGCGTCAAGCCGCGTTCAACACCTTATATATGCTTATTTCTCAAGCCGACGTGTGCGAAGATGTCGACCAGTTGTTGCGACAGTTCGTGACCTGGATGGACCAGACCACCAAGCTGGCATACACGGAGGAGCTTGGGCAGCTGCAGGGACCGATGATCGGCTGTATCACGGCCATCATTGACCTGAGTTCGGACGCATTGCTGCGGGCTGAATCAAAGAAGCTGATGGACTCGTTTATGGACGTGTTGTACCAAGGCACCCAGATATCCGCGAACAACATGATTCAGCGTTGGTCGCCGGCGACGGAAGAGGTGCTGTTGGCTACCTCAATGCTCTGTTGCCAGCTCGGCACCGGTTTCGACCCGTACGTGGAAGTGATTGCCCCCACTCTCCGCAGCGCGCTAGTCGCGCGCGACATAGACAGCCAGGTGACTGGCGTGGCGGTGGAACTTTTGGGAGGCATCGCAACCGCGTGTCCGAACAAGTTCAAGTCGTACGTGTCTGAGTTTGTGGAGTTGTTCATCATTGTCCTTAAAGATCGGTCAGCGGGGATGGACCTGAAGCCAAAAATCATAACGGTGTTGTGCGACATTGCCTTAGTCTGTCCTCACGAATTCTTCCCGCACATTAAGTCCTTCCTAGAGTTCTTAAGACTCGCTGCGACCACCAGAGCGGACCAAGGACCCGCCGACGATGAGACGTGGCTCCAATATATCATCAACCTCCGGGACGCTTCCCTCTGTGGCTACTCAGCATCCATATGCTGTATCCGAGACTGCGCCCAAAACGGCTGGGATCAAGCACAAGCCGTGAACGGAGTTCAATTATTTACTCCGGAAATCAATCGTATTCTGGAGTTTGTTACCAAGGTCTTCAACGACAAATTCTCGTCACCAGGCAATATTCGAAACGCAATACGGCTGCTACAAGATCTCATCCCCATGTTTAAAACAAACCCTGTCCAGGCTCTTAAAAATTCCGTTCTATATAATATTCTCAAGACTCACGGACAACTCACTACAGATGCCATCATAAAGCAAGAACTCGCTCGTCTCGAGGAGGTAATCACCAAAACCAACACCCCTCCCCCCCTCCTTCCTAGTTACACCAGACATCAGTGTTGTTTTAGATGATGGACCGTTACAACTGAGACCCTTTGCGGTATGCCTAAGAGCGTACGTGTCATTTTTGATTGTAACTCTGCCACCATTGCAACGGGCTCTTTCTCATTGCAAACCGCCGGCGCATCCTCCGTTTTTCCACCTAATTTTTGCCCCACCATTTGTCCCCATTTGTTTATTTAATTTCGGGAATGACCCTCGAACTTGTCAGCCAATGTCACCGAGAGTGGAAGGACACTGGCAAATGGAAGTCTCTGTATTGCAACACTCATTCTCTTATTGACTAGTATGGTGCACACAGACCCTGACCGCTCCAGATACCAACACTCCTTCCACATCCCATTAATCCATAACCCGCCCCGTAGTCCACAGCATGTCCCGTAATTCATAACCTGTCCCGTATAGCTATGGTCAGGGAAGCAACTACATTCGACTGATGAACGTGAAAGATAGGTCTGCTTATATACTGGGGTCTTGTGTATCTGACCTTGCTGATGTTTTAAGCGAAACGAACGGGTAAGCTAATTGCACAGGTTCCTTGGTGCTTGCTTGCTCCCTCCTGGATTCCTTGTTCCGGGCTGGATTGATCGGTGATTGCTTACTTGGCAATCGGGATATGTTCAATGTTTATGTAGGGATAAATCTGTTGAACAGGTGAGTCGGAGACCTTTGAAGAAAATGCCGAAGAAGGCCAAATTCGAGTTGGCGGAAACGGAGATCAGGGACCTTGGAGAGGATAGTGCCGACATTCTGGTAGATTGTGGCTATCTCGATGGTTTGGCTGTGGAGGACAATTTTTCAGTAAGCCTGAAGAGCTGGGTCCAGATGGTGATGAAGAAGGCGGAGAAAGCGGTGTACGTGATTACTGTCGGCCACGAGCCTCTCATTCGGGAGTTCATCAGGTGGTCGACGGGCTGTAACTTCGAGATTACAATTTCGCCGGTACGGCTGCCTTTCAATCCGGCTAGGGGATCGGTTCCCGTGATTATTGAGATCAACAAGGAGAAGACCATTACAGTGGAAAGGTACCCGAACATTCAGATATGTACCCAAGCTTTTACCAAGAGAGACAACCAGGAGTGTAGTATTTTAAGAGTGCCTGCTTTATTAAAAGAATGGCGGAGGTTATACTACCTCCAAAATGTCGTACCGTCTCATCACGCAGGTAGTCTAAGGCTCTTCGACATTGTGGAGTCTAGCACGGGTGAGACTTATTACAGTCTATCTATGTACGACCGAGTACTGGACAAAACCAGTCCGAAGAAGAAGAACCTCAAAGCATGCGTAGCTGTCATGGTCCCGCTAGCGGACGAGCATCACTGGCTTTATAGAACGCCGTCGGGACATCAGAGACTCGCTGAAAAGGCTGGAACGCTCAGGGTACTTTGTGTTTTCCTACCCAATTTCAAGCCGTTGATGAAATCGAGCGATGAAGTTCCCGCGCAGGTTGTTGAACGCATACGAAAAGATATTGGTTCTCATTTATTGTCTTTAAATCCCAACCCCGCGACTCCCGTGCTCCTCATGACCCAACAGGAAAGGTTCGAGGACGAACGAAAATCGATCGCCATCAGCAGCACCGCTGACGGAGACGAACTCATGGTTTATGATGTTGTTGTAGACCAACAAGATGAAGAATTTAAGGAGAATCCGGACAATGATTCGAACGAGGTGATCCCGCCTTCCCCATCAGAGTATACGCGACGGACTATGATCTTCTCCAGCAATCCCCGTTGTGCTCAAACTGAACTCTGGTTCAAGGGGCCGTCTGACAACCCAGAGTTCAGATACACTCATGTATGTCATAGCTATCAAATCCCGATATTAAGAGTTGTCTGTGACTATATCGAACGACAGGGGCCTTCCACGGGTGCCATTCTCGGTATTGGCGGCGGCCTTATGCCCAGCCTGTTCAACAAGGTGTTTGGCCGCAAAGTACACTTAGACTGCGTGGATATAGAAGCTGAGGTAGTAAATATGGCCAAAAAAGCGTTCGGCTACGATGATGCTCCAGATTATAGGAACACGGTGATCCGAGATGCCGTTGATTATATCGCCGAGAAATCCTTATCTGAAGACAAGCTGGACTTTGTCGTCGTGGATATTAATGGAACGTCCGGCGCCACACTTCCCCACCTGGAGAACGTCACGGGTCCTCATAGGAATTTCCTCACTTCTGAATTTCTATCCGCAGCGAGGAAAGCGGTGAAGGCTGAGGGGCTTGTGATCCTGAATGCTGTTTGTCAAGTTGTATCCGCGAGAAAGCAGTTAGGGAGTTATCTCAAGCCGATGTTCCCAAATGTAATGGGGGTGGCTTACGGCGATGAATTAAATGTTGTCTACGTTTGTTCGGCCAACAACTGGCATAGCGGCGAGAATCCCTTCATTCAAATACGAAAAAGGCTACTGGCTTCCGTAAGCGTCATCCGACAACGTAAAATCTTTATTTCAGGCTCAACGATTCCCAGCTCTGGCGGATGTTGTTACGGATACCCCTCTCTATTTGGGCGAGAGGTCACGCATGCGCGCCAATGTAATTTCTTTTTGAAAATGTCTCGCCTCCAATGTCTTTTGGGACATGGAAGACATTATACAAACTTGCGCATGTGTGCGCACACACTTGACAAACACGCGCACAAGCTAAGGATATCGCTGAAACATGAGACACCTTTTCACCCTTGGATCTATCGCCACTTTTGCCGTCGCTGGCCCTTATGAGGCCCGACCTGCCAACGTTGACTGTCCCGTCGGATACACGCTCGTTGGCAAGAAATGCGAACAGAACACTTTTCAGCCGGCGCAAGTCACTTGCAGCCTGGGTCAGTTGCAGGGGAATCGATGCATTACCACCGTTCCCCCCATCCAGACCTGCCCAATTGGATCAACTCAGGAAGGAAACGTTTGCAAGATCTTCCAATATGACCAACCTCGTCCGGAGTGCCCTAATGGATTCCATCTTGAAGGAGCATCCTGCGTTCAGAAAAAGCAACTACCCGTCACGGAGGTTTGTGATGTTGGTCGCCCGGATGGCAGAGGACAGTGCGTCAACACTGAAGTCGTCAGCCAGGTCATCAAGAAAGTCTGTCCCTCCGGTTTCCAAGATGAAGGTCATGGATGCGTTAAAACTACTACTTATGACTGCAGTCCTGACGAAGTATCTATTCCGAAGCCCGTCTTCGTGCATCCTGCTCCTGTGACTAAGGAGACTGCGGTGGCGCAGCCGCTTCCCCTGTTCACCAACTACAAGAAGAAGGGCTGGAAGAGAATGCTTGGCGCCAAGAAATCGTACGCTCCAATCAACATTGCTCCTGTCGCTCCTGCCCCCAGCAAGGGAGCCGCGCCGATTGTCATCAAGTCCCAACCAATGGCTCCGGTGCCTCCGTCCAATGTTGCTGTGGTGAAGCAACTTTGCCAGCGGGAGGATTATGCTCCGTACGTCATCGAACACTTCTGCCCACAAGGCTATGCTCCCCATGGTGAAGGATGCGCTGCTACCGCTACATATCCTATGAGCGCACGGTGCATTAACGGAAATTCTATTGAGGCTTGTTTCGAACCCAAGATTGCTCCCGTCAGCATGCACTGCAACGTGGGAGCTCTTGTTGGCGATAAGTGCGTGGTTGCTGAAACAATCAACTTGGAAACGGTTTGCCCTGCTGGAACTGAACGAGTTGGAGGCGCTTGCCAACAAATCACGACTCCCAACGTTGCCTGCCCTCCTGGAACTATCCTCGAGGGTAACAACAACTGTGTTGGGAAAGCTTACACTGAGCCCATTGGAACTGTCACCACCACCTGCACTGGCAAGGCCTGCTGGCAGCATTAGAATTCGCATTTTATGTTAAGATCATTTCGCATTAACGATGAATAAGGAAAAAAAATAGAATGAATGATTCGATTTAAAAATCAATGAACGAAATTCCGTCAGAGAGTAAAGTGGAAGTATGCCTACTGAGAAATAAAATACTTGCAATGCTGGAGGAGAAGCACGATGAGGAATGTGTTCTCTACAAATCGGAACACGTGCAATTTTGTAAATACCCATTTGTCAAAGAACTACCTCACAAGCTTATCAAGCTACACGCTGGCCAAACGTGGGTGCTGTACTGGTGCTTACACGCTATGAAGCTCCTAGAACACCAGGTTGAAGGTGACATCATAGCAACAGCAAGGTATGAAAATGAATCTTCGGTGGACCCGCATTTTCTTTTAGGGAGTGGCTAGCAGCAATTGAGTGCGAAGGAGGAGGCTTTGGCGGAGGCGCGGGCCAAATTGCGCACGCAGGACTGACCTACGCGGCTGTATGTAGCGCGGTGTATTGTAACTTTCAGCCTCACCGGGATTCTTTAGCTAGTTGGTTGCGAAGCCTGTTTACACCTGATGGGGCCGTTCTCATGCACAGGGATGGAGAAGCAGACAGTCGTTCCGTGTACTGTGCAGTTGCGTCATGCCATATGCAGGCAGTCCTGAGTAGTGACTTAATCAGCGCCGTGGTTCCGTTTTTGGTGGACTGCCAACGACCAGACGGAGGCTTCGCTGCGGAGCCAGGTGCGGAGTCACACGCGGGTTACACCTGGTGTGCATTGGCGGCACTGGCAATCTGTGACAAACTAGAACTAGTGGATTCACTGAAAGCTCTTGTAAGGCAACGAGCCTGAAAGGACAATTCTTGTGTTGTAGGAATGGTGCCTGAACCGGCAGAGTGTGCTGGAAGGTGGTTGTGACGGACGACCGAACAAACTGGTGGACGCATGTTACTCATTTTTTGTGTGCGCTTCCATTGTCATTGCCGGATATGCTTTAGGTATACGACCTAATTTCAGTCATGGCGGACTAAAGGTAAGCAGTCGTTCACTCGCTTCGTTCACTCGATGTTGTCGCACCATGACATCATCTTTTGGATCGTGGTGTTTCACGATTTTCCGCTCAGAGGTACTTGCTAAAATGTTGCCAGCCGTGTTATTTGGCGTGGCTTGGATACGATAAACCAATGAAGTCAATTAAAGGCGGCGGTCTGTGCGATAAGCCTGGTACCACCGCGGATTGGTACCACACGTCTTACGGTCTATCTGGCCTGTCGATTACGTCCGACGACCTTGCGCAGACTTCGCCGATACTCAATGTGTGTATAGAAGACTGGTTACGGCAGCGGGAGATGCTCTCGAAGTGTGACGCCCAGTTCGGACCGGGGGAAGAAAAGTTCCACCGTTGGTACAACCCGTTTTCCGGCACCGGGGATGTGGGAAATGAAGGAGCACCGGCGTTCGAACGCGCGCCGTAACACTGTGGATGACCACCCGTTTGACTACGTGACGCAAATACAGAAACAGCAGCGGCCTGTTGCTGAAGTGAATATTCGCGAGAAAAAAGCGAATCGGAGCGTTCCTCCCCAAATGAACCGACAAAGACGATCTCACCATGCCAGCGATCAGTACAATACCGAGCTAAATAGTAAGCTGCGGCCAACAATGGATCAATAATTCCTTCTAGACCACCAACTTGACCATCATCCAGATGTTACCACCTTCCAAGGTCAATGCATCGATGCCATTCCGACCGCTTCCTCCATCCAGCATCCGTGGGTTCTTCGCGAGGTCACCCCAGCAACTCATCGCAAATTTTACATCGTCAAACAGTCCAAAGGATGCTGCGGCCTCATCAATGCTTGTTGTTGCGGCGCCTTTGATGACGAAGGCGCCTGTGGGTTGTGCAACGTGCACGGCTGCTGCAACCGTGAACGCAAAATACTGAAGCGTATAGGCGTGACTGAGGATGCCATGAAAATCCGTCCTCGCAAGAGTGGATGCTGCTGCTGCTGTTGCGGCCCAAAATGAAGTGCCAAATGGTGCCTGTGGCCCTCAATGACATCGGCAACAACTTGGGATAACCGGAACGTCAGCGTGTGTTGGTGTTGGCGGCAGCCTTGTCGAAGTTTTTGCGACTGACGAACAGCGTCTGGTAACTGAGTGTGGGTAGATTGTGGGCGGGCCGAAGGGATTGAGGGGTCCAGTGGAACAATGACTACGAAACACAACGCCCTCAAATCCCGCGATGCCAACTATAAGTCCATCACTACAAAAAATGCTCCGCACACCGGTAAATGCTGAAAGAGACAATTGAGGCTTCTGCATCTTTCCGCGCAAATTGAATTAGAGGGAAAGAAGCAGAGGAGAATGGTGCTCCAACAAGCCGATGTTCTGCCGGATTCTGCAAATAAGGTTGGTCCAGTTGGCAGGTGTGGTATTGATCCCATAGTTGAGTAAATTGGTCCCATAGTTGAATTGGTGAGTCAGGTAGAATACAGTTAGTTCGTTGGTTAGAGTATAGTTAGGGTAGTGTACAGTCGGTCCAGTGGGTGAGAGTGCGAGTTAATTGGCGAAGAGTACGTGGTCGGGATCCAGTTGACGAGGTCTGGCTGCTGGTTCCAGTTGGTCATCGAGTTCCGGAGCGGCATCGAGAACTTGTCCTGACTGGAGCAATTGGAAGCCCGTGGCGCCGAGAACGGTGCCAGCCGTTGCGCCAGCGAGGACGCACGTGTATGTTCTTTTGTAGTACCGTTCTTCGCAGTAACCGCATTCGTCGTCTTGTGGGGCGAGAGTAGGAATGGGCTCGAATTCGGTGCAAAGGATGGTGGGCATCTGATCTACGATGCTGTAGAGTGCACCGGTAATGGCGCCTGGATCAACGACAATGTTGTCTTCGGGCAGTCCGGACAGCTGTGCCAACTCGTCTATGCGAGCTCGTTCGGCGTCGGTATAGTTTGTGGTAGACGTGGTAGTCAGTATGAGAAAATGGGGCCGGATCACGTTCATCGCTTGCTGGAATTGTGCTTTAGTGGGAGGGTCAGGGAAAGGACAGCGTGGCGCATCTTCGTCGAGAGCATTTATGGCCCGGTAGCGGTAACCTGTTCTCGCGAGAGCCTCCAGCAAGCCTGCGTTCTCCTTCACTTCGCTTGTCTTTCGAGGGCACAGCTGCGCCGCCAGCTTTTCTTCCAGCGCCCTTAAGGTTTCATTTCGGGGTCGGGTCACCACACAGCCATCGTCCATGTGGAAAGTATGTCTGGGTGCGTGTGGGCTGATCAGACAGTTGTTGTGTTTCCGCAAGCACCCAAGTGTGTCCATCGGCATCTGCGCCTGTGTCGGCGTCTCGTGGCCCGGCGTCTCGTGGCCCGGCGTCTCGTGGCCCGGTGTCTCGTGGCCCGGTGTCTCGTGGCCCGGTGTCTCGTGTCGCAGCGTCTGCCGGACCGACGAGTCGGAGAGAGTCGGAATGACCGTGTCCATGATGGCGAGCACGCGCACAACCGGCAATCCGTCGCGCAGGTCGTCATTGATGGCGATATCCTTGAGCGTGACCCAGTTCACCAAAAGGTTCAAGGCCCCGGCCGTCCCATCCGCGGGGGACACCATGCGGCCAAACACCGGTAAATTGGGCAACGTAGTCAGGAAGGGATCCGGAGCAAAGTCTTTCATGTAAAAGTCACAGAACCCATTCTCATTACCAGAAGTCTCCTTGCCAATCGGTGATGCGGCATACCAGCCTCCTGTAATTCGCAAAGATGTCACCTCTTGTCGCAGTCGACCCGTTAGCGCCTCGTCAAACATACTTAGATCTCCACCGAACCAAAACAACTCCAAGTGACTACCCGCACAGTAACCCACTTCTCGGTTCGTATACGAAGTCAAAACCAACCCTGGAGCTATACCAACGAACCCTTCTTCAAACACCGAACTACACGACCTCATTCGGTATAGCATTTCTCCATCATATATCATCTTCATGTACGCCTTGCTGACCTCCAGCACACAAAGCAATGCCAGTTTACTCCACATAAAAAGTTCCCTATAAAAAGTCCCTGATCGGAATTTACTTTAGCCGTCCTCAACTTTGGGTTCCCTTAGACTTCGCCTACCGGTCTCAGTCTAGGCTCAGTTCGTGGGGGTGTCGTCACCCGCCTCATCTAGCCAATAGATCCCTTGGTCCTTGTAATCATCCCGGTGCTCGAGCATGTACTGATATTCTTCAGCGTCGATTGGTCGATTCGGTTTATCGTACTCGGGGAAGCCCTGGTAGGTCACCGCTGTGCACCATTTTCCCGCTTCGCTGCCTGCCTGATAGCATAACGAGGCCCGACCGAAGAGGTCGTCCAGCCTGCAGTGTGCGCAGTTCCATTGTTGGGGAGCCCGCGCGCACCAGCACGGATGTCTGATGAGCACACACGGGTCAAATTTGTTCACAAAGAACTGCTCAATACGCTCCCACGGTTCAGTGGGGTTGTCACGGAGGGGAATCACGCCGCCGAGGAAGTCGTGCCCTGGTTTGCACACCGACTTCAGCTCGGTTTTGTTCTCATAGCTGAACAAATCAGACTTGAACAATACATAATACTCTTCACCCGCGTCCTCCATCTTCTTGTATTTGTCAAAGACCGAATCAGGCACCAACAACCTGGGCATCTCAGAAATTTCTATATCTAGTGTAGTCGGGACCCTGCCGTCTTTCTTGCACCAGGAGGGAACCCAATGCAATTTGTCTTCCGTCTCTTGGTCCAGACTCGTTGTGTTACTCACTACGGTCACCCACACGTGCCAGCGATCCGTGATACAGAAGTGGTCTGCAACGTCCTTGTCCATGTCCGCCAGAACCATGACCGGGCCCGGCGGGGGTTCAAGCTTGGGCATGACAGGCACAGCCCATATGTACATGGTCTCTCGTCCCTCCGCATCCGTCTTGCTGTCGTATTGCACCACAGACAACGACATCAGGGGGATAGTCCAGTTCATATCGCAAGTCACCAATGGGACGGTGGCCAATAGAGGAAGAATGCGCATCTGTACAACTTGGTCTAACTATATCGACTGACAGACGACGACAGAGTATGTGTATGACAGAGTATGTGTATGACAGAGTATACAACTGAACCACAACCTTATAACCAAGAAGCAATGATCACGGGGTATGTTGTGATAAATCCGGCGGCCGTCTGTGTGTGAGACGCTGTCGCCGTCACGCCCTGCCACAAAGAAATTTACTAATTATTAGCTCGAACAACTTATAATGGCCGATCCAGTTTTTGCTCCCAGAAGACTCAACTCAGCAGCTTTTGAAATGCAGCGCAAGTCCTCGTTCTCTAAGCTGGACGCGTCTCAGCACACTCGTGTGCTCGCCTTCGACTACTCCGGAGATGTGAGCCCCGGTGCCTTTTCCGAAGGGCAGCAGAAGCTCTGGAGTTTGATGCACAAGCACATGTCTACCGACGCCGCCACCATTCAGAGACAAATCGTCAACCACGTCGAGTACACTCTGGCGAGAAACCGCTTCAACGTCGACCAGGAGTCTGTGTACCGTGCTACCGCTTATAGCATCAGGGACCGTCTGATCGAGCTGCTCAACGACACCAACCAGTACTTTGTCACGAAGGATGTCAAGCGCTGCTACTACCTCTCCTTGGAGTTCCTGGTGGGCCGCGCAATGCAGAATGCTCTGGTTAACTTGGACATCGAGGAGCAGTACAGAAAAGCCCTTGGCGATCTTGGATACAAGTTGGAGGCGTTGTACGAGTACGAGCACGATGCCGCTCTTGGCAACGGAGGTCTGGGACGGCTTGCGGCCTGCTTCCTTGACTCTATGGCCACCACCAACTACGCCTGCTGGGGTTACGGTATCCGTTACACCTACGGCATCTTTGAGCAGAAGATCGTGAACGGCTGGCAGTGCGAGTACCCCGACTACTGGCTCATCCAGGACAACCCTTGGGAAGTTGTGCGCCACGACGTCACCTACGCGGTCCGTTTCGGCGGCCACGTCAAGAGCTACACCGATGAGAAGGGTCGGTTCCGCCAGAAGTGGGTCGGCGGCCAGATCGTTCAGGCGGTTGCTTACGACAACCCCATCCCCGGCTTCGACACGTTCAACTGCATCAACTTGCGTCTGTGGAAGGCTGCCCCGTCAAAGGAGTTCGACTTTGACTCATTTAACGCGGGCAAGTACATGGAGGCCATCAAGGACCGTCAGGACGCTGAGTCCATCAGCTCGGTGTTGTACCCGAACGACAACATGCCGGAAGGCAAGGAGTTGCGTCTGAAGCAGCAGTACTTCTTCGTGTGCGCGACAATCCAAGACGTGCTCCGTCGCTTCAAGAAGAAGGAAAACCGTGACTGGCGCGACCTGCCGAAGAAGGTGGCACTCCAGCTGAACGACACGCACCCGACCATCGGAATTCCAGAGTTAATTCGTATTCTCGTGGACGTGGAGGGGCTGGAGTGGGACGTGGCGGTGGACATCACAAGGAAGGTCTTCGCGTACACAAACCACACGGTTCTACCGGAGGCGCTGGAGAAGTGGTCGGCTTCGTTGATGGCTAGACTCCTGCCGAGACACATCCTCATCATCAACGAGCTCAATCACCGGTTCTTGCAGGATGTGAGATCCGTCTGGGGAGACGACTACAGCAAGATCAGCAAGATGAGCATCTACGAGGATGGCTACGAGAAGTTAATCCGCATGGCCAACCTGGCAGTCATTGGCGGCCACCGATGCAACGGTGTGGCGGTGATCCACTCGGACCTGGTCAAGCGGGACCTTTTCCCAGAGTTCGCTGAGTACTTCCGGCTGAAGGGTGAGCCTGACTACTTCACGAACGTGACTAACGGCGTGACCCCGCGTAGGTGGCTGCACAATGCGAACCGGCTGCTTTCGAACTTGATCAGTCAGTGGCTCGGCAGCGACGGCTGGCTGAAGGACTTGACGATGATCAAGGGGCTCGAGAACCACATTGAGGACCCGGCCTTGATCAAGGAGTGGGCCGAAGTGAAGTTGAAGAACAAAGAGCGCCTTGCGCTCTGGATCAAGCACCACGGCGGCCCGGAGGTGGACCCGAAAACGATGTTGTTTGACGTGCAAGTGAAGAGACTCCACGAATACAAGAGACAGCACCTGAACGTGTTCTACATGCTGCATCGCTACCTCACCATCAAGGATATGTCACCGGAGCAACGGCGTAGCATGGTGCCGCGTCTCAGCATGGTCGGCGGCAAGGCTGCGCCGGGCTACGCGACGGCCAAGACAATGATCAAGATGATTAACTGCGTGGGCGACTTGGTGAACAATGACCCTGACGTCTCGCCGTACTTCAAGGTGTTCTTCCTGCCCAACTACAATGTCTCCTCGGCGGCCGTTATCATTCCCGCTTCAAACATCAACCAGCAGATCTCGACAGCCGGTATGGAGGCGTCCGGCACATCGAACATGAAGTTTGTTATGAACGGCTCGCTCATCATCGGCACCATGGACGGAGCCAACGTCGAAATCGTGGAGGAAGGCGGTGACGACACGGCCTTTATCTTCGGCGCACTTGAACCCGACGTGGAGCGGATCCGCCGCAATGCCCGCAACGGCGACTACCCCATCGACCACCGTCTGCAACGCGTGTACAACTTCATCCGTTCCGGTGCTCTAGCCCGAGGCGACTCCAATGCACAGTCGCAATTCTGCGGCCTGATCGACCGCCTCCTAAACAACGGCCACGACGCGAACGGCGATTATTACCTTGTTGCTCATGACTTCCCCTCCTACATCGACGCCAACGAACGCGTCGACCGCCTATACAAAGATGAAACCGCGTGGTGGACCACCACCATCAAGGCCGCCGCCAACATGGGCAAATTCAGCACTGACCGCACCATCCACGAATACGCACAAAACATCTGGAACCTCACCACATGCGAAGTCGTCGGACCCACCCAGGACCAAGTCAAACGCCTCATGAGCAACGCCTCCATCACCGGGCCCCCCACCGGCAACGAGAACGCCACACTGAACAAGAACTCCGCTGAGAAACCCGCAGCCGGCCAACCTACCACTACTCTGCCCACGACTACCGAACCCGCTACTCAGAAGCCTAAGCCCGAACGGGAGACGGCACCCGGCACACCCATGGCAATCAATGCGGCACAGAAGAAATAAACAGCATACTTTTTTTAAATTTTACGAATTATTGTTAGCTTGTGTATCACAATTTCATTCAATATCTAACCCTGTTCCACCCTGTTCCGTCCCGCCCTGACACCACTTCCAATTCCAACTCCGAATCGCCCGTCAACAACATTCCCACACCATTTGGCTTTGCATCTGTGTTAGACTTGGTTGAAGACGACGTCGATGCCCGCGTTGCTGCACCAAAACCCAATCTATTCCCAATCCGTTCCCAATCGCTCTTTCCCACGAAAAATTAGTAGTCGTCTGACTTCATGAAGGTGTCCCACTCGTCCTTCCAGGAAACAGGGCAGCTAGCGGTGCTGGGTTCGCCGCCCATCATGGCGCAGAGGTGGGGCGGTACCCCGCAGGCGCTGCCGTCCTTCTGGCGCGACTTGCTGGTGGCGAACCAGTCGCCCCACATGTTAAGGTCGCCGAGGTTGGCGCCGCCCATATCACACCAGCTGCAGAAGCCGGTGGTCACACAGGCGCCGCAGTTGCTGCGTTCGGCACAAATGGACGAGACCTTGAAACCACCCCAACTCAAGGTCGTAAACGTCTCCAGCCGCATCCGCATATCCGCCTGCGCCTCCACAAACCGCGGCGTATTCACCCCGATGCCAGCCTCCTTCGCGCGGTTCGCTGGGTTCGCCAACTTCTGGTACGCCGGGTACTCCCGAGAAATGGTCACTGCCAGTTTCGGCGCCGCCGGGTCGTCGCCGTGCCTCAAGTACCACTGCTGAATCAACTGGTGGATCGTCGGCGTGTGCCGAAATGGCCCAGGCGCGAACGCCTGCGGCGCCGACAGGTTCGTACTCGCTGCACTTCGGGGCAACCTATACAAATTCCGCATTTCCAACAATGGCCCGTCATAGTGGATCTGCGTCATGTTCTCCGTAGACAAATTCGGGTCATCTGCACAGACACACTCTCTTCCCTGCCACCCCGCTTTCTGTAACAACCCAGCCGCCCACTTTCTGTGGTAGCCCGCCCCACTCCCTCGCTCTAACACCCCGCTTTCTGTAGCAACCCAGCCGCCCGCTTTCTGTTGCAATCCACCATTCCCTTGCTCTTACATGTGGCTCGCCACGCATTCGTGGTGCTTCGGCCGACCCGCACGTAGCCGCAGTACTGCCCCTCGACGAGGGGCTGCAGCCGACTGTCCTGCAGCACGGAGGCGTAGCTCAGCCGGTACGGGTCTCCGATGTTCTTGAGTTCTTCTGGACCCAGTATCAAGGCTCGGTGGTAAGTCACTACCTCCGCGTTGCCCTCTCTGGTCAGGTCCTTCTGCGACAGGGGGCCGAAGGGCAGGTACTCCGTAGTCCCGCCTGTCGACGTCAGTCCCACGTACCGGCGCTCAATGCTCTGCTTCTCCGGGGCGTCGATTGTAGCCTTCAAGCCCACCGGCGCCGAGCACATGGAGTTGCGCATCGCACACTCCCCCTGCGTTACATTCACGCTCCACGCCGCACCCGAGTTCAGGGTCATCCCGCAAAACCGCGTGCACTCCGTCGGGCACGGGTTCATTGTGTCCAAGGACACAGCCATCGCACACGACACGGCCTTCGCAGTCACATTCGGATTCAGCTCACTAGCGTCCTGAACCAACCAGTCGCCCAACCCGAAACCTGGGAACGTCGCGAGCAGGAGAAAAATCATAAAACAAAAGTCCACGGCGGTGGTCGAGAAGGTTTTCTCAGGTTGAACAAGTGCTTGAACCTCCTCACCTCTTTGTCCTCTCCTTTTATTCGCACACCTGCAAAAAATATACCAAGAAAGCGATCTCTTACCGTAGTAAGCGTGAGTCACACACCGCGGGTCGAAAACCAGGCGCATATTCTCCATAGTGCACTCGCGCTGCCCGAGTCGACCAAGCTCCTCCTCTTTCCCTTTTGGAATGGGGATCTGGCCTACAGGCATTGTGTTCTGCAACACACGCTTTTTCCGTCGCTTCAGACCAATCCCGTAGTTGTCAAACGACAGCAACCCCGCCAAACGTCGGGGGTTACCACTCTCTCCATCACTACTAGATTCGTCATATTCTATCAATGATGCCGTCATACACTCCGCCACCTCCGATGGCAACGCGTTACTCTCCGCCCGCGGGACTTCCCCCACAAGCTTTTGAGTAGCCTCTACCTTAAGCCTCAAGTCGTCAATCAGGTCCCTTGCATATGTTTCATATTCCGTCCTGCTTTCCAAAAGCAATCTGTATGCCTGGCTGATGCTCCCCCACGAGGTCTCCACTGACCACCAGTTCATTTTAAAAAAACATCAGCTGGTCACTTTCTTTTTCAACATGTCCTGAACACTGCCCACGTCGATATCTGGCACGCAATCCACGTGACTCAGAGTGTCCTCCGCATGCTCTTCCTCGACAACTTCATCGGGACTTTCAGGCTCCACGATTTCGGAGCAGTTGAGCAACTCGTGCAAAGCAGACTCCGGGCTCGACGGCATCTTCTTCGCAAGGTCCGCTGCGAGTTGTATCTATAAACAAAATGTAAAACACCGAATAAAATCACACATACTTTGCCGGCAGCAGACAGATTACCCATTGCCGTCAGTCCTTCCGCCTTCTGTCGGGCCTTCGCCTCTAACCCTTCTGCCTTCTCCACAGCTAGCTCATTGGCCTCTTCCCTTTCCTCTCCCTTAACACGCTGATCCATCACGTTCACTTCATTATCCTCGTCCTCCAATTGATCCAACATCTTATTGTGCTTCAACTTTGCCCTTGTGGATCCCTTCCTCGCCATCGTTTCCTCATGACGATCCCTTTGAGACTCCACTCGCAAACGGTGGTCAGCTCTGTCATAATCTTTTCGTGCCTGATCCAAGTCACGTTTGGCAGACTCAACCGTTTTCGCATCCGTATCCGTCAACGACAGCTGGGCGGATCTGGCAGCTGCACTCATTTCCTCCCCTAAAACAGGACATCATGGGTAGCGAGACAAACTTACTCTCTTGCTGGTTGTTCTTTTCGGATAGTATTTGTTCGTCAGTTAACCCTTTCGCAAGTGAAATGGCCGCCAAATCCTTTTCCGGTCTCCCCGGTCCGCGCAAACCTGGAGAAGTCAAACCGCCCACACTCTGCCCATTTAGAGGTATTTGTACGATCGAAGTCATGCCATTATCTTGGGGGGATACGGCATAAGTACCAAAAATATTCGCTAGCGTGATAATCTGAATGCGCCTCATCCAAAGATAGCCATCCGCACACGTGTGTGCACCGCTCTCTAGAGCTCGAACATCTCTTGGATGCGCTTCCGATGCTCTTCAATTACCGTAGCCGCCTTCGTACCGTGAAGGATGCGTAATACTCGCTCAAGACACGTCCAATAATCTGAAATACTCATAGGTGCTTGACTTCCTGCTTACGTCGATTAGGATGACAACGATAAACCAATGTTAAGTAGAAGTCTTCCCAGAGTGCCATAATCGGGATACAATCCTGTCGCGTATAACAGTGGACCATTAACATTTGACTGAAATAGGACAATATCTGTTCAGCTGCATGTGTCGGTGACGCATTTGGTGTCGGAATTTTGTGCATGTTACCAATACTGTCCGAAAGATAGATTAAATGGCTTTTTCTGCTCAACTGCTCTTAGAAAAGCTAGCTCTTGTTCGATCAAGACCTGCCAAGTTAAATCCAGTTTAGTCCCGGAATTATTTTCATACGCATACATCTCAAGAGGAACATCCGTGACGTTGGAAAATTCTGTTAAATAATTAGAAATCTCCTCCATAATGTATAATCTACGATGCCAACAGTAAAATGGTTTCGTATGCGAGTTAAGAATATTGGATAGTCGATAATACTCTTGCACTGCATGGAGGAAAGTAGCGATACACGACCAACCGAAGTCATGGTCACAGAGCATGCATTCCATCCCGTGGATCTGAAGGGTGATTTGAAGGGTGAGTGGACGACTTACATAGGGCTGGCAGGTTCTTTGGGATTGGTTTTTTAGGGTCGACATCGCCGTAACATATTTCGTGTTCAAACGAGTGCTTCGGAGATTTAAGACCCAATAATCTGCCCTTCAATGATATGAGAAGGTGTCGACCTTCATCGGCCAGCAAATAAGGCAGCGATGGGTCGTCATCAATTTGCTCGACGAAACAAGCGTCGATCCTAAGAAACTCGTCGCAATGGAAGGACACTGGACCGTACTGGGTTCGATTGTACTGATACCACAGTGTCCTGATACTACAGTGTCCGTCCGGGTCAGCAAATGGGTACTTACAGTCGAGGTGTGTAATGGAGCATGGCTAAAATTAAAAATGTAGTCAGTGGGGCGCTCAGTACATGTTTAGAGGCGCTGAATGTGACTCATGCCATTCACGCATGAAGTCCTGAATACGATTGAGGCATTCTTGAAGAAGTTCTCACGATGACTGACTATAAGAAACTGACTCTCGGTGAAGTATTTTTTGATCACCGAACCCAAGTTTTGAGTATGCCCAATATCGAGGGCTGCATCCACCTCATCAAGAATATATAACGGACATGGCTGCAATACAGATCTAGTGTTGGATGAAGCCTTACGTTTAGTTTCAAGAGCGCTAAGATGAATGATAGAGCCAATAATGACTTTTGGCCCCCGCTAAGATCATGTAATCCACTCTTCTTCATTCCATTAAATTCAATCTGCCATGCCATAATATATCCATGCAGTATATCATCCATATCGTGTCATACTTCTACCGCCATGCTGTTCTACCGCCATGCTGTTCTGCCGCCCATGCTGTTCTACCGCTATATTGTGATACCTATGTTCTTACATTTATTTCAATTCCTTCATTTATATCATTTGGTTCAACCAAACTTAAGAATCCTCGGACGTTTCCAGGCAACATGGTACACAATATATGATTGAATACGTTGTCAACCAGAGTGTAACTGGTATTTAGTTTTTTAGTCTTTTGGGCTTCAATATTCTCGATAAGCTGTTGTACCGAGTTTCGTTCCGATTGCACCTTAGATTGATTATTCTTCAACTCATTAAATTCAGCCTCAATATGTGATAGCATATCAATTGCTCTCTTATCAATCTTCATTTGTAAGCTCGAACGCTCTCTAATCATGGCATTATATAATTCAGTTAATTCCTCAAGGGATATTGAACAAATCTCGACACCCCCATTTTCCGTACGATCATATTTTTGGAGTAGGACTAAATATTCAGGCATTTCCATTACATGTTGTGGCTGGTTTAGTAAGTCCTTTTTTGCTGCATCTAAATTAGTGGTCAAGGATATGATATCGTTTTTTAACTTATTAAGTTCATTATGCAATCGACTATTTTTTGCTTGATTATCCTCCAGATCTTGTTGTATTGATCTAGATTGCTCATCAAGCTCTTTATACTGTTTTTGAGCCGTATATTTCTGTTGAGATATAGCATCATATTGATGTTGTAAATTATTCAGGTTGGATTCTATTACAGGTAATTGTACTTGAAGATCTTCATACTCCTTTTCAGATTCTTTAATTTGACATTGAATCTTATCCAGCTCTGACACAATAGCGTCCTTCTCAGTTACTAAATTAGAATGTATGAATTTCTCTTGGGACATTCTATCCAATAATTCTTGGTATTTTTTCCATAATATATCATATTCACTTTTATTATCATTATACGATTTACTAAGATTATCCATTTCTTTTTGAGGATTTTTTAGACAATTATTCAAATATTTTTCGTGAGGTTGTAGATCTTTAGTAATTGATCTGCACTCATTTTCTAATGACTGTTTTGCGTTACTCTTCTCATGTAGTTCTTGTTGGGCTTTGAACAATTTGCCTTCATCTGTAGTATCTTTTTTTATTGAGATTTGCACATTAATTGTCTCTATTTTTTGCTGGCAGCTTTGTATAGTAGACTTTAATTCTTGGGATCTAGCTTGTTTATTAATACATGATGCGAGTAATGCCTTCAGTTTATCACGTTCTAATTTTATATCATTTTCGATCGTTTTTCTGACATGATTGAAACGTGTTCTGTTCTTAATTAAATGATTCATACCACTTTTACTACCACCAGATATTTGGCCAGTAGGATTGTAGCAGTCTCCATCGATTGTTATAGTATTGTATATCCAGTTGTCTTGACCATTAATCAGCCTTGCTATTTTCTGATTATCTGTTAAAAAGACATTGAAGGCAGAACACAAGCACGACTCATGGCTCACATCATATTCTAAAATGTCAAGTGCATAGAATAGATTGCCACCTTCATGATTCGCCAGCTTTGTAGCACGTAGGATAACATCGCGAGAGGGTCTTTTGTTATTCAATCGATTAATTGGCAAGCATGTCACACGCACACCATGGTTCGTAGCCCATTGAAACAGCTCCGTGGCTGTAGCATCATTGTCCACCACTATGTGATACAAGCGGGTCTTTGCCGCTTCCTCCAAAGCAAGACTGTATTGTTCATACCCTTTATGGATACTAAATACATCCAATAATGGTCCCGGCACTTTATTCACGTCCGGAAATTTTTGGCGAATTCTCTCCTCTCGCGCAAACCTCTGGGCCAAGCTGCGTAACTCATCCTGGTATCGGTCTTCATCGCTATTCAACTGGAATATCTTGGTCTGAATAGAATTCTCCTCATTTGCATCATAATCAAAATCTTGCAATTTTAACTCAGTCGCTGACAACATATCCTGCCACTTCTTTAATGATCTCTCTGCCTCTTCAATTTCCCGAGTGTTCTTGGCTGTCTTACCTAACCTCTGAACCTCACTCTCAAGATGTCTATCGATACACAGAAGTTTAACCACCAAGGGGAATGCTAAGGAAGACCGTCCCTGGATTTAATCATGTGGGAATAGAGTATGCAGTGATAAAAGCAAGTGAGAGAGGGGCGACCGTATGATTACTTGATTATAGGATTTAATGCAATTATTCGATTATTTAAGTCAGTTTCTTTTTGTTTTAGATCATCTACTATTTCCCCAAGGGGTTCACCACTCTCAGTTGTCCATTTTCCTAATTTGGCCAGCTCCAGTCTTTCGTTAGCCTTGTTCATAATCTCTCTTGTCTTGCTTGTTTTCGCCTTTAACGCGCTCTCTTCTTCAATGTAAGATTTGTTGTCCTTTTCAAACGCCTTTAACCTAGATTCAGTAGATTGCAGAGATTTCTGCTGCAATTTAAGCTCTTTCAAGCCGTTCGAAATATCCTTTGAAATGGATGTAATCAGTGTAGTAAGCTTGTTTTGTTCAAGTTGTGTATTATTTATGTCCTGTTTTAGCTTTTGAGCGTGAGGAGTTGTTTCAAGCTCAGCAATCTGTTGACTTAAGATCTTTAGGCGATCTCTAATTGCACTTAATTCGTTGCGCTTAGTGATCTGCTGTTGGTCATTGTTACTCAAGTCTAGCTGTATCTCTTCGACAATTTTTTTCTTCTTGCATAAAAGTGCGTGTAACACACGTTTTTTATTAAGCGCAACATAGTATTTCATAGCTATAATTTCCGAACCCAAGTTCATCCAACGTATATAGTTAGCCTTTTCCTTTTTCGATTTCTCTAAGGCTGGCTCTAAGCTTTCGTTTATGTCCTTTTCAATTTTTTGCAGCTGAACTTGTTTTTCCGTCAATACTTTTTGGCTCCGTTCTTTTTCTTTGTCAAACACGTTTGTTCCAACAGATTCTTGAAACATACTGAGTATCTCTTTGGGCTTCATGAGTATAACCTTCTGAATGGTACCTTGCAAAACAACGAAATGCGCATTATGAACGTTCAGTTTCGCCTCAAGTAGCATCCGAGTAATGTCGGTTGGTTTTCTCAGTTGGCCATTCACAAAGAATCGATCTCGACCTCGTAGGGCAATCTGACGAGAGATAGTTATCTTATCACAATCGGCATACATTGTGGGAGAGAACTTTTTATCCTGATTATCAAATACTATAGTCACAGCAGCACTGCTTATATTACTTTGACCCCTCTGATAGATCAAATCCGTAAGACTACAAAGAGATGCGGTTTCCCACTGCATGTATGACCTAGTATCGTGATGGAACCTACTTGTCAACTCTCATGTCGTTCCCTACGCGAAATCCCATACCGAAACAGATCGCGTCAAAGAAGTTGCTCTTGCCCGTCCCGTTGGGACCACAAATTGCCGTAAAGTTAGGACTGAAGGGACCGATCTTGACTCGCTCTCCATAGCTTTTAAACCCCTCCAATGACATTTCCACGATCTTCATCGTCACCTACTTTACACCCCTATTATATAACTGTACACCTGCTGAGCACAAATATGAGACTAGTCCCCAGATTGGATCACTGGCTGCCTCTGCAATTGATCCGGCGTTTTTATTCACTACAAAATCCTTTGGTGCGGCTGCTCTATCGACCGCCTCCCCACAACCAACAGCTGTGACCAGTTGGCGACAAGCACCTAGTGCGTTTGATTATCTGTCGGTTGTATGTCATTTGACCGGCGAGCCGACGCGTTGTTTGCTAACATTCACCTCGGAAGATTCCGTGCGTGAGTTAGAGATTGTACGGGAATGCTTCCACATGAAAACAGTACGTTTCTATAAGTCTTCTTCTCAGGCTCCCGGGCCGGCGAAAGGCCGCCTATGCGCAGTTCGGCCAACCCTGCGCCACGCATGGGCGACTCGGCCCCCCGCGGAGGCCGGCGTTGAATCGGGGAGTGCTCGAAACAGGGAGAGCCACCTATGCCCGACAAACCCCAAGCCGGAGAGCCATCTGCGCCGCCGCACACGACGGGGGAGCACTGCGCATCAGGCTTGCGAGGACTTGGCGCTCCCCCTTGCTCCAGGTCCCGAACTGGCCTGCCCCCAACGGTCACATCCCGAATGCTTCCAAACGGCATGTCCTGAACACTTCCAACTTGAACAGCCACGCCCCCCGGAGACGCGCTCCCCATGGGTGCACCCGCCATGGGCACTCCCTCCGTGGGAACATCATCCCTGAGCGTACTCCCAATAGCTACGGTGCTTTGGATGCCGCTTATCATTTCTCGGTGGCGATCCTTCAAGGCCTTTCCAGCACTGCCTCCCAAGGCCCCACCAGCCGACGCTCCGAGCATTATCCCTGCCGGACCGCCAACGATGCCAAGCACAGAGCCAACCGCGGCTCCCACGGCCGCTCCAGTGAAGGGCCACTTAAAGGACTTGCCGGCAGACGCCGTGGCCAAGGCAGCAACTGACTGCTCCGTCTGACCCAGAGCCGTGCCAGCCCCACACTCAATGCGGTCCAAGACACCGCTAGACTGATGCACATATGCGCTTATCTGCTCCTGCATCTGTGACAGCTTCTACAGAGGAAGATCACACACACACAATGGGAGGGACACGCACAGGAACATAATGGGTAGGGACACAGTGGGCTGAACACTCAATGGGGTGAACACTCTATGGGGTGAACACTCAATGGGGTGAACACTCGGTGGGGTAACGTTATGGGAGTATAGAGGTAGGGAGCGTTACAATTATGTCTTCTTTAATTTTCACAGCTTGTTCGGTGGTGAGTGCCTCCGGTCCGTCGGTAGGTTCGCAGTCCCAGTGAATGGCGGCAGGTATTCCGGTGCCGTCGATGGTAGCGTCACCGGCATTGCCCCGGCGGTCTTGGGCGTAGAGGTCGTGTGCGATAGTCCAAGAGAGTTTGACGAAGCCCTTCATCTCCTCGTTTAGTTTGCGTAGCTTCAAGTTCCGTGTGTACGGCTCGCTTACATTCGTTACCCACACATGCCGACACTTTTCCAGATTAACACCATGGTCATGCGGCGTACTGGGTGGCCAGTAGTTCTTGATACGGTTGAAGGCGTCATCCAGTGCCGCGTCTGAGGGGAAGAGACTGAAGGCAAGTCTTCCCATCAACGCTACGGTCACTTGTAACAACGAATACAAACCTTTCCGATAGTCGCTGCTTAACACTACCCGGCCACCGGGGCCGAACTGTACAGCTTGGTACTTGACTGTCAAACGACTTATACACTCGGTTAGGTCATTGTAGTTACAATATATTGTTGTCAAATCATCAGTTACTCGCCTACCATTGCTAGCATCAATGCAAAGGGAGGGCAGGGGGAGGGCAGGGGGAGGGGATAGCGTAAAAGGGGATAGCGTAAAAGGGATCCCGCACAGGGATTGTAGTGCAAACAACGTAGGGAGAGAGGTGGGAGCCACGTAGTGGGCTACATAGTGGGCGGCATACCTTTCGAGTGTCTCAGTGTAAACCTGGAAGACGTCTTGTGGTGTACCAGCAGGTTCACTAAAGGGGAATGAAAGAAGCAAAGTCAATAAGCATACACATTCTAATCTGGGATCATCACACTCATCCATCGAGTTCAACAACCCTACCTAATAATGAAAAGAGCCTCTATTATCGTTCCCCCCAAGGCATGGGTCAATGCAAGGCCAAATGAGTCATCCAATGAACCGAAAAAGAGACGGAAGCTACCACTAACGTAAGTGTCTGAGTCATGACAGTGTCTGAATGATGACGGTGTCTGAATGATGACAGTGTCTGAATGATGACGGTGTCTGAGTCATGACAGTGTCTGAGTCATGACAGTGTCTGAGTCATCCTCCAGAACGAGACAATATGGCTAAGGGTTTAAATGTGACTGAGTCACAGTTCACGAACTATATTTGGTTGTGTTGTAGTTTGGATCAGGAGACGAAAAGTTTGGAGCGTCGACAGCAGATAGCCGAGCGGGAATTTATTTCCTTCAAGCCGGATGAGAGGCTTGAGATCAAGTTCCCATTTGAGCCTTATGAATGTCAAAAGACATTTATCAAGTCTTTAACTCAGGCTCTCCTAAATAAAGAAAACGCTTTGTTGGAGTCCCCAACAGGGACCGGTAAGACAATGTGTTTGCTATCTACTGTGCTCGGTTTTCAATACTACTGTCAGAATGGTTTGTTACCATTTGCTAGGGCGGCCAAGTCTTCTGTACCCGCAAAAGGCCAAGAGAATGTTCCAAGAAATGTAGACGAGGTCATGTCAGCCATAGATGAGTTAGCTAGAACAAATCCCGGCTTGGATACGACTGGATACGTCCCCAAGGGTGGGACGGAAGGAACCCCCAAGAAGCGCAAAAACAACCGGATACGGCCCCAAGATTATCCGAGAGTTTGGTACGCCAGTAGGACACACGCTCAAATCAAACAAGTTGTCGCCGAACTGAAAAAGTCGGCATACTACTATATAGCCCAGCAAACAATACTTAATAAACATTCAAATGGAACCAATGCGAGCGATATAAAGGCAGGAAAAGAAACTGATCAACAAGTGGGACAGCCTGTGGCATCCGTGGTCAACTATGATGACTATAATATCGTTGGAGGTAACACCATTGGAGGTAACACCATTGGAGGTAACACCATTGGAGGTAACGCTGATGGCAACCGTGACACTACGGGCTCGGATTCGATGGTGGTTGAAGATATTGAAGGGATCCTTAACGACAGTTTGCCGTGGGATAATGGTAAATCAAAGTCGACGAGCAATCGGACTACTAGCTGCGAGGGCGATGCCGAGAGAGCGAAAGAACTAGGTACGAGCAACATGCCATTTGGTTTTCGTTTGACTATTTTGGGTTCTCGAGACCACTACTGTGTTAATCCAGAGTTGCAAGGTAAAACTGGTAAAGTATTGGAGTCAATGTGTAAGAAGAAGTCTGTTCAGCGAACGTGTATGTGGCATAACGGTTGCAATGCTGCATTAGACAGGAGTGATATTTTTTCTAAGGAGGTCTATGATATGGATGACTTGAAGAAAGTTGCCATTCATGGGACAGACCATTTGCAACCCTTTTGTCCATTTTATGCCTCAAGAGAGGCACAACCAGAGTCAAGCATCATACTCCTTCCCTATAACTACCTTGTGAGCAGCGGCATGAGAGAGAGATTAAAGATCAATGTCGAGAATGACATTGTCATAATTGATGAGGGACACAATATAGAAGGTTCTTCCGAGGATGAGAATTCATTCTCCTTTACAGAATATGACCTTCAAAATGTAATATCTGCTATTGATATCTCTGACACCCTACTATCATGCGCTCCAACTAATAATAACTCTGCTAATGAACATTTGACTGGAGATGACGTACATAGTCTTATAGATGAAGTTAAACCTTTATTGTCTAGATTAATGAATATGATTCGGCAGGCAAAATTGGCTCAAATACCGTTAACAGGACGAATCATGAGCGAATATTGCAAGCTATGGCCGTTGAAAGACTTTAGAGATCTTTTGCAAAATGAGGTTGGACTTACCGAAGCTGCTAGCGCACGCGTGTCTAATCTACTCCGAAAATTACAACTTCATTTGGAATACTTTGAAAACAATAGTCAAGACCGCTCCGTTGATACTAAAAACTTTTTAAGCTGGGCCTGGACTGCCGGCAGTGTCTCCGGCTACGTAACGACTTTCTGGGATGATCTTGTCACCAAGGCAATCGAGCGCTTCAGAGTCGGAATTTTCATGACAACCGTTAAGCGGACGTCCGTCGTACCGGCTAGGTCGAACGCCGACTCTGAAAGTGTAATAACGACTCGGTCCTTATGCTATTGGTCATTCGCTGCTCATGTCGGACTTGAAGAATTGTTCAGGAACTGCCATTCGTTAATTATTACGAGCGGCACTCTTAAACCTCTGGAAGCATTATCTCTACAGCTTGGCAATCTTACCTACAGATTCGAACATAAGCTCGAGAATAAGCACGTCATTGGTCCAGATCAATTGTATGCAGGAATTGTAGGAACTAGCTATTCAAATATACCTTTATGCCTCAGCTATGAAAACCTTAGGAACAATCCCAACATTATAAAGGACATCGGGAACATGATTGTTGATATTATTCAGTTAGCGCCGAGAGAAGGACACCTTGTGTTCTTTGCCAGTTATTCTCAATTGAACTCATTTATTGACACGTAGGGAAACACACTAATTGCCTACTAGTAACACCTTGTTGCACTAAGCTATAGCATCAAGCTGTTACATTAATCCATCGCATTAAGAGGAGCAATTTTAGGTGGAGTCGATCTCAGTTATGGTACGAGATGCAGAAGAAGACAAATGTGTTCCGTGAGCCGCGTACTGCCCAGGAGGCCGCGGAGGAGATCGAGCGTTATTGTGCAGTGGTTAACTTAGCCAATGGAGTGGACGTGCAGCTTTCTGCTCGTGCTCGCCGTGGAGTAAATTCAAGCCAAGGCGGCATATTCTTCGGAGTTTGTCGTGGTCGATTGAGCGAGGGGCTGTCCCTGAGCGACCACCTGGTGCGATCGGTTATCGTAGTCGGTATTCCTTACCCGTCTTTGAGTGACGTGCGAATTACCACCAAGCGCAACATTTTCGACCGGCACCCCTACAAAAAGGAGGGAACGATTATCAACGGCTCCAACTGGTACGTAAAGCAAGCCTCCCAGGCCGTGAACCAGGCCATCGGTCGCGTCATCCGCCACAAAGGCGACTATGGCGCGATACTTTTGATCGATAGCCGATATCAAGAAAGGGTCACCGAACTTTCCTCCTGGGTCATTGAGAACATGAAGATGCATAACCGCGCCAGCTCACGGCCCTGGAGCACTGTAAAGGACGAACTCCGCACCTTCTTTAATGCCAAGGGAGGCTACAGACTGCAAACTCGCAAAATGGACGCAAATGGTTCAACACACGATTCAGCACATGCGGCGAAGCATGGCACAAGAAACAGGCTCAAGAATCCGCTGCAGACATCCACTCGCGCCGAGACTGCTGCCTCGTCACAGAAAGGACCGGTCATTAAGCACAGGGACAAACTGGATAAGCCAACCGCTACAGGGCCGAAGAACATGCTGACCCTAACCGACTTGTTCAAACAAAGAGAAACCGTCAACGGTCCCGATCGCAGCCATGGTCCCGATCGCAGCCATGGTGCCGATCGCAGCCAGAGTCTTAGCGTTGATACAGGTGAATTGAAAAGTAAAACACCAGCCTCCCGAAAGAACAAGTTCCCGACCAGAAAAGGAGTCAGCCAGGGAAAAGGGGACCACCTCGAAGAGTGCGCTATTGGCGGCGACTCACCGCCGGTTTTAGCGGTTGCGACAGTTCCCAGAGAAGCAGTGACTTCCGCCCTGTCCAACCTCTTCGCTCTCCGCCGCCAGCCTGAAGCCGAACACCCAAACGGCGACGGTCAAGACCAGAACAAGTGTGACGACCAAAATCAGCAAAGAGACCCACGCTCTGGAAGGTTTCAGCTGGGAATCAAAGCGGCCAATGAGGAAGCACTTGCCTCTCTAATGATGAAACTGAAAAACCGGTCTGCAACCGAAGATGAAGCATGACTGGCAAAGCATGACCGGTAATCCGCCACACTGATGCACTGGATGTAGGTCATGTTAGTCGCCAAATACTCATATGCGAGATCACCATGCGCTTTATGCGAGATCACCGTGCGCTTCACGAGAGATCACCCTGCGCTTTCAACAGTCCCTTTTGAATTAAGGCCCAGCAACGCTCTCATGTCCTGTCCAACGGTATTTGCGAGGCCATTCTATCGATAGATGTGATGTATGTTACGGGTGGTATCATGTACGGTAAATCTAAATGGGTGTGTACGTATGTATGTTACCTCGTTTTGGATGGCGTCGATTTCTTTCCCATGTATGATGAAGAAGTCGTGTAGTGTGTGTGCTTCGAAGAGCGGTTTGAGGAGTAGGTTGGGGAATTCGGTGCCGGAGCCTGTGCCAAGGTTGGACTGGTTGCTGGGTGTGGAGGCATCTGAGAGTAGTCTTGTGGTGAATTCTGGTACAGGTTTGACGGCGTAGAGAAGTTCTGCCAAAGGTTTGACTACGGAGTTGATATAAGTTTTGTGTCCTTCGGTGGACCAGAAGTCTCCTCGGTCAAGTGCGTTTTCGTTGATTTGCATGAGTGCTTCGCGTTCTGCCTGGGATTCGAGTTTGGATTCTGTACGGTTAGCGAGCCAGAGTTGTTTGCGCAAAGGTGTGTCGGGTGTGATCCACTCTTTGGTGAAGCCGGATGCCCGGAACAATAGCTTGAGTGACAGGGTCATATCTTCTGCGTTCTGCGCGGGTGAGAACTGGCCGCTGTCTAGACGCAACTTGACGCGGCTGATGTCCAGGTAGTGGCTGCCAGAGAAGGAAGAGGTGAGCAGATTGCCAATAAGGCGCAGGCAGGCTTCTCGTTCCTGAATCGCCATGGAGCTAAAAAGTGAACATTCCTCGAGAAGGAGCAACCGGCGCAATCCGAAGGTCGCGAAACGCCGCTGCACTGCGAAGTCATTAAACAGCAGCGCTGCACGATGGTTGCAAGCAAGTAGGAAGAGTGTGGAGTGGCCTGAATATCCGAAGTATCGTGCGAATGATGCAATCATCAGGGCCAAAATGTCTTCGCGAGAAAGTAATGGAAGCAACTCAAATTCTGTCAGCAAATAAAAGAGCACGTGTGTGGCATAACATGTGGTGTACCCATTCGAGTACGGATTGTTCGCAATGCCCACACTCAGCCCCACTATCAACTGGTATAACTTGTGGTGATTATTTGGCGAGATCGGCTGGTACCTATACAACAATGCCCTACATGTCTCCAACATCAGGCTCGCTGCCGTTGGTGCCTCGTAGTACATCCTGTCGATCGCCGCAGTCGGCAACGCTGCAAACGCATTCAGCGCGGCCACCTCCCATTGCGGCGTCCATTTCGATCCGATGCCCGGTAATTCCACTTCAAGCTCCAATGCTCCATGACTCCGTCGCGCACAAGACAGCGGTCTCCGACCGATCAGGGCGTTCGACTGCAGCATAATCACGCCCGCCGAGGCGAAGCACGCCTTCTCTTCTTCGCTCAGGTTTTCTAACACCGTACTCTCGTCCACAGAAACCTGCGCGGTCAAGGTGAAAGCGATCTGGTCTAGGTCGTTGATCACGTTCAATATCCGTTTCGAGAACCTATTGACTCCCCTCTGCGTGTTGACCACGATCGACTCGTTACACACACTCTTCACCTTGTTTATTCTCCTCAGTATTACCTCAGCAGCAGACGCGTTGGCATCGAAGATCCCCCCCTCCATGGAACCTCTGCCACCACCGGGACTGCCACTGGCACTGCCACTGGCACTGCCACTGGCACCCGTATCACCCGAGAAGACGTTGTCATGTTTGTACCGGTTGACGGTGTTTTCGACCTGGAGTTTCTCCAGGAAGTGGGCCCGGTCCTGAAGCTCCATCCCGAAATGGGCGAGTACCAAGACGAGCAGCATGACCTGGGCGAGTTCGGAGGAGGTTTCCGTGGCTCCGAGTTTCAAGCGGTACTTGTCGAGCACGAATTCATCCATGACACTCAAGTAAGAGAGTGAGAGTACGAGCACTATGTCGTAGAGGAGCGCGTATTTTTGAGTTGTCAGGTTGGCGTCATTGATGAGCAGAAACGCGTAACACATACAGAAGAACTCGATGGGGCTATGGAACAAATAGTCATCTCGGAACATGCGACTATTCCAATCCATTTCGAAGATCACCCCTCGCATTGTGACGTAAACCTTTTGGATTACGACGATGCTCAAACTAGCAATAAAGTAGATTAGGGTGATGCGTTTTCGGGTTGCCCACACGACCAGCGGTAGTAGGAATAGAACCAAGCCCGTGATACATACGGCGAAGGCCACCAGCCGGATCGCAACCCACCGACGCTCTGTTGCTGTCAACCCCTCGACATATTCCCAACCGATCTCCAGGCCACCCATAGCGATTGAGGCAGCCAGAATTGTGCCGATCTCTGCCTTAAGGTAACTCGCACTCAATGCAGCAATCGAGCGGCAGTACTCGTCCTCCAAGTGCGTCGACTTGAACTTCAATGGCCACCAGTCGATCGCACGCGCAAACGCAAACGGATCCGATGTGATCGTCTTCAAATACATCGGCAACCACCGCTCCCCTCGACCCTTCATTGCCGTCCGGCCCATCTCGCTCCGGCCCAGGGTTTGGTTGCCCACGTACGTTCGGCTCTCCAACTCACTCTCGTCAACCAACGTTTCTTTTCGGGACACGTCGCTCTCACGACCACCATCGCTCCTGTAACTACGCCCGTCAAAACTCGGACCCTCGTCGTAAAGATGGCCGTTTACGTACTCTGCATGGGCTCGTACGGGCTCCTTCACCCCAGGCGTCGGCCGCACCGGCGCGGACCCCTCGAAAGCACCGCCAGGCCTCATTACCGGCACCTTGCACCTCCACCTCGGCACAAGTCCTCCACCTCGGCACAAGTCCTCCACCTCGGCACAAGTCCTCGGTTCAGGCACAAGTCCTCTGTTCAGGCACAAGTCTCCCAACAGGTCACCGCCCGTTTTCAAGCATCGGGGACCGAACCCCTCGAATTGGGGATGTCCCCCAGCACAAGTCCGGCTAGCGTTAGCGGTATCTAGATTTGAGTCTGTTAATTTCTTGGACCAAATGTATATGTTTCTCCAGCATCAGGTCTAGCTTTCTGCGGTCATCAAAGATTTGTGTACGCAATTCTCTCGCACGTATGACCTGTTTGCCTTTCTCGTCTTTAAGTCTGGTGAGTGTGCGGGCCACGAGTTCTCGTTCGCTATCGATGGCGGCATGGATGCCGGTGAGGTCGGGTGAGCAAGTATGCGTCTGTTGTTCTTCCTCAAGAGCGCGTTGTTCCAGTTCGTCTACAATTGCTCGGAGCCGTGTAGCCTCTTGTCGCAGACGTTTGACGCATTCTTTTCCGCGGGTGGCATAGATAGTTTCTACGACTTCGCGTCGTCGTTTGATTTCTTCCTCCTTCCACTCGAGACGCGATTCCTCACGTGCAAGCAACACCAGAGTTTCCTCCACGCGTTCCAGCAGCGACCGGTCACCCTGGAGGCCCCTTTCCACTTCTTTTTCTAGACATTCCGCCCGCTCTAGCTTGCTCTCCAGGCGCTTGACTTCTTCGCTCAAAATCTCGCGCAGGTTCAAAGTCGTCCGGTCGCAGTAGTTCTCCGCCGGCGGAGGTACTTGAAAGCGCCGCGAGTCCTCGCCCAGCTGCCGTGCCAGACTAATTATCTCTTCCGCAGCCTGGTCGATTGTTCGCGGATGAATGCGCGAATGCAATCGCACACGCGTGTGCGAACCGCCCTTCGCCAAACAACCCGACGGCTCCTCGCGCTGCAAATTCGCAGGCGCACTCGGTCGCTGGAACAACGGCAGACAACACGCATGCGGATCCCTCTCCCATCCCGACTCTCGCTCGCACGTCGGCTCGCCCGTATTCTTGCGGCTGTCCTTGCCGCACGAACACGTGTCGAAGGACCCGTCTTTCCCCACATCCTGCGACACGTCGCCGGACAGGTGCCGCCTACACTGCGACCGTCCCGTTTCGCAGCCGCCGGCTTCGCAGTCACCACCTCCGCAGCCTCCGACTTCGCACACACGTCCGACACACACACCGCCCCCGCAACACGGCACGCCGGCCGTGTCGCAGAGGCCAAAGTGCTGGCAACGCGCAGCCTTTCGGTTGCATAGCTTCCCCTCCTTGTTCCCCTCCTTTTCCTTATTCCCCTCGTTGTTCGTCTCTCTATCGTTGTCGCGTGTGCCATGGCTGGGATCGCCTTGGCACTTGGCCGCGCGGTAGCACTGCGCCTTGCTGACCTTTCTGGCGGCGAGTACGCCCAGTGCGGCGGAGCCGCACAGCATGGCGGCGGCGGCGCAGTCGCGGTCGGCTGCGGCTGCGGCGGGCGAGCAGCAGCGACTGGAGGACTGTCGAAGAGCCGCGGCAGAGTTGACGACACAGCCGGAGGTTTGGCCGAAGCCGTAGCGGTCGTCGGTTCCGCGGTCTTCGCAGCAGCTGTTGGTGTGCAGGACAGAGGAAGGCTCTACGGACGAAGGTTCAACGGACGACGAAGGCTCCCCGTAACTCACGCAGTCCAGGGACCGGGCAGTCACACTCATCTTTGTCCGCCTTGTCCCAACGGATGCTCCTCAGCCACCTGACCCAGCTCGCTACCCTCGCCCTCTCCTGGCGTCTTGGAGATCTCAGCACCGCTGACTACGCCCCTACGCTAATCCACACGCGAACGCACACCAACCGCGAACAACTCTCCTACCTCCAGTACCTCCACGAACCGCCCCCGCCGTTGTTGCAGGCTCACGATGCCCAGTACGACGAACTAGTGGATGACGAACTACTGGACGGCCACTCGCGGGACGACCAGTCACTGGACGACCAACTACTCGCTGACCAGTCGTTGGAGGACCACTCCCTGGACCTGGAGGACGACCTGGAGGACGATCTGGAGTGGCCCCCGCGGCGAACGCACTTCACGCCGGCGGAGGTGATTGCGGCAGCGGAGGCTGCGCACCGCAACGGTTCGCTACGTGCTCAGGACGCGTCAGGCGAGTCGCCCGTGATCTTCACCGCGAGTCAATTGGAGGCGCTGCTCGGTGTCCTAAGCGTAGATCCTCCGGCCTTGCTCTTCACCATCAACGAGGGCGGGAGGCACCGCCTTGGCTTTGGCCTCTTTCGCGACATTGCCCAACACTACGTTAACAATCCTGTCTACCAGAAGATTTTCCAGGCACTGAACAAACTCCTTCGAGATGTAGCCCGCCGCAAGGGGGGGAACAATCAGGCCGGAGACCCCGCCACTCTGGACCATCTCGACCATCAGGCCGGAGACCAAGATGCCGAGAACCACGACCCAGGTGCGGACGACGCAACTTCTCTTAACACGCCTTTGTCAAATAGAAAGACTGCTCTCTCTCTGGCAGGGGCAGAGGTGGAGGCAAAGGCGGAGGCAGACGAACCGGTGGGGCATGCTTGGTTGAGCAACGTCCTGACTGGCACCGATGAGATGCAAGGTTTTGAATCTAACTACCGTGAGGATGGAGCGTTGTGGGACGACCTGGATGCGGCGCTCAAAGAAGACCACCGCCAGATCGATCGTCTCGGTATCCTGGACTTGAAAGCGGTGTACGAAGCGGCCCTCTCTCTGCCCCGTTCGGAGTCGACGACCGGAGCTATGGCGGCGGGGGCAGACGACCTGGCCGTTTACGACTTGGTCTCGGGCGAAGACGAATTCCCGACCGAGAAGGACTGGATAGAAGACGACGAAGACCTCTTCACACCCCCGCCGCGCTTCCGGCCGCCCGACCTCGCCCAGGAACGCGCAGCGCTGCTCCGCCAAACCCCCGTCCACGCCGACCGACCGCGTCCTCTCTCGGGCAACGATCACCGGTCCGCCTCGCCGGACCCTGAGACTGCCCTGGGCGGGGTCGAACGGTCCGAGGTCGAACGGTCCGAGGTCGAGCCGTCCGAGGAGGCCGAGCCGTCCGAGGAGGCCGAGCCGTTCGAGGAGGCCGAGCCGTCCACAAGTCAGAACCGGGATAGCGCGACTCAGGGTGTGTTCAACCTTTGTGATTGGTACCAATACCCGGCGGTGTGTCGTGCGCACTTCGACCATGCTTGTTTGCACCAGATGGTGAAGCGCTGGAAGGGTCGTCGAAAGGACTTCAGTTTGTTGCCACACCTGAGTATTGGGCACATCGCGTTGCCACGGCGGCCGGTGCGAGCGTTGAAAGCGATAATTGATGTGGCCTGTAACCCGTGGATAAAGGACCTGCATGCCGACATCATATTGCGGTCGCATGGCAGCGGCGAGGTCATCCCCTTCGACCCGGTGAGTTTGAGGGGTCCGGCGCGGAGAGAGTTGATGTTGCGGGGATTGGGTAGCCCTGTAAACGACCCTAAATACCGCGACCAGTGGCACATTCCGGACCAGAAGGTGGAGCAGGCGTGGCAGACGACGCAGGGCGACGTGAATGTGGCGGTGATGGTTGCAGACACGGGGGTCGACATAAACCACGAAGACTTGCGAGACAACTTTTGGCAGAACAACCAGCCGTCGCGAGAATTCAACGGTCAGGACGTGCATGGGATCAACCCGATTCGGAAGAACGGCGATTTGAGTGACGAAGGTGGACACGGGACGCACATGTCAGGGGTGGCGTGTGCGGCTACCAACAACAATAGAGGTGTGGCGGGAGTGGGATATAGAGTTCGCCTGGCAGGTTGCAAGTTCATGCAGGGCGCCTCGGGCTCGCTGGGCAAGCTGTGCGACTGTGTGAACTACGCTGCCGACAAACGGATCAAGGTCGTGTCTATGAGCTTCGGAGGCGACACCGACATGCCTGCCTTCTCGCAGTCCATGAAGAAGGCCACGCAAAACAACGTAATCGTCGTCTGCAGCGCCGGAAATAGCGGCCACAACAACGATCAACAACACACCTACCCTGCCCAGTACGCGACCAACCAGGACTTGGCTGTCGTCAGTGTCGGCGGACACGACCAAAAACAAGCCTGGCTGGATTACGCCAGCTACGGAGCAAACACTGTACTAGTCAGCGCACCGGGAGACTACGTACTCTCAACCGCCCAAGGAAATGACTATGAATTCAGGGGCGGTACATCTCCAGCCGCGCCTAGCATCGCTGGTATACTCGCTCTAGGATTCTCTGCCAATCCCCGACTGAGTGCTCTCACCGCAAAGCAATTGCTTCAACAAGCCGTTGAACCCATGAACGGATTCAAAGCCAAGTGCAGCTGGGGCGGCAAAATTAACGCCCAAAAATTCGTCTCCTTGGCCAAAAACGCTAACTAGCGCTGCAGTCTAAGGCAAACTAACAGCAGGTCATGATAGCCGCAGACTTAGATCAGCTTCAGACTTAAATCAGTTTCAGAACATTTTGCTACCGTAAAGCCGCATTACCAGCTGCACTAAAAATACGCGTTCTGTCTTACCAGTCGTAACAATCGTAACACTGCATGCAGTCATAACCCTTCATATCATTTGTATTAAGACCCCTTGTACTGACATTACGTGTATTAACATTACGTGTGCTAACATTACTGGTGCTAACATTACTGGTGCTAACATTACTGGTGCTAACATTACTGGTGCTAACATTACTGGTGGTAGTTCTACCATCATGTCCCCCCGATTGGTGTCCCAGTATGTGCAATGGAATTAGTCCCAGGTTTTCTGAATCAGATGCAGAAAGCACTTGTGCTTGCCGGTATAGTATATGGATGGCGTTTGGGTGACATGAGCTTTGGAGAATCGGTGTCACCGTCCCTGCTTGATCCTGCCGCGAGTGACTACCTGACGGTTGAATATTTGAAAGGTTTGAAGAAGAATGAGTTGGTTAACCGCAGCGACTTCGAAGGTGCTGCGGCTGACCCAATGGAGCTCAAGTTGCGGCGAGTACGTCATACGTCTCCTGAGTTTACTCTTTCAGTGCTACAAAATGGCGGTGAAATAACCCCAGCTGAAGGATTCAAGCTTGTCGAAAAAGAACTGGAGGCCCGACGACTCGAAATGGAAGAAAATAATGCACAGGCGAATGCACAAGAACTGCTCCTTGGCCAACAATTACCGGCAGTTATATTCACCCTGGCGGAATTGCAGTTCTTGCTCGGGGTCTTCTCCATCGATCCACCCAAATTAATGTTTACTTTTATGAAGGACTTTGGCGAACTTCACCACCTCGGAAAATACCGAGATATCAGCAAGCATTACTCACACATTCCCCTGTACTCCAAAATACACGACTTTATTGTCCGCCTCATCCGCCACCGACGGGAAACAGCAACTCCTCCAGGCTCCGACCCTCCAGGCTCCGACCCTCCAGGACCCGACCCTCCTGGCCCGGCCCCTCCAGTCCCTGACTCGGACCCTCCAGCCTCTGAACCCCAGCCAACCGCCCCGGTTGCGCCTTCCTCCGCCCCTGCGACCACACCTTCGGTCAGCGCCGTTCCCTTCGATGCTTCAGATATCGTGAGCAATAATTCGGGACTAGACGCTCTCTACAGCGACCCCGAGCTACTGGCCCATGAAATAGACATCGACGGTCTTGACCGAGATCTACACAAGTCGCGCAGAGGACTCGATCCTCAAAACATCCGCGCCCTACTCAAAGTTCACGAAATGGCCGACCGCCTGGTCCAAACCAACGACGACCCGGACGGTGATTCTGACTCGGACGAGATCGTCCACGCTCTTCACATGCAACACGATCCTAGTCAGCTAACCGCGCTGGACCCAATCACCGAACACCATGCCGACGACCTCGTTCCAACCACGGGTTTTTACCCCACATGGCAAAACCTCGCCTGGCAATATCCTGCTTGGGAAAATCCGACTTGGGATAATCCGACTTGGGATCAGGACGTACCTTACTTCAATCCGCAACTCGCTTCCGACGCAGCGGACGCTCCGCACCTCCCCAGTTCTCATCGGTCCTTGTTTTCGCAAGACGTGTCTTCACAGCACCTGTCTTCGCAAGATTTGTCTTCTTCCTCTTATCACATACCGACGAATGTTACCGCACTCCCCTTCCCGTCTTCTCCCGCAGCGCCTAACATGAACCCCGCTGTGAGCTTGTCTGCCGGTCAGGGTATGAATTTGCCTGTTCCAAAGGCTCTGTTCGGTGTTCCTGGGGGCACAAGTTCTTCTAGTGGGCGTTCTGATGGAGTTGATGTTGCGGGACTTAGTGAGGATGGTCTTAAGAGCGGTGGTTGGTTGGGAGGTGTGGCGATGTCTAGACACCGCCACATCCGGCACGAGCACACTAACCATGAGCCGAAAGATGAGCATGTGGAGCGTTTGATAGACCACTTGCGAAAGCACAGCACGCTCCATGACGGTCCGGGTGTGTACCATGACTACATTAACCTCTGTGACTGGGTACGGTTGCCACGGTCTTGTCAGCAGCGTCGTTTTTCGAAGACTTGTTTGGACCACACTTTGCGTCGGTGGCAGGGTCATCCTCGCGACCTGGAGTTTCTGCCGCGGTTGGGTATCGGTCAGGTGGCGCTACCACGGAATCCAGTGCGAGCGTTACGGGCGATCATTGAGGTGGCGTGCAACCCATGGGTGAATGAGCTGCACGGCGACTCGATGGTGTACGTTCCGGATAACCGGTTGGAGCTCAAGTGGATTAGCCGCGGGACTTCTCGGTGGGATACGACCACCCCAAAGCCGCGTCCGGGGACGACGACTACTACGCCAGCACCGGGAGGGAACAGGTCGACGACTGCGAGCGGGGAGTGGACGTGGCACTACAACGGGCCGGGGACGGATACGGTGTTGAGAGGAAAGAACAACCCGAATGATCCGGACACGAAGGCGCAGTGGCATCTGACAGATCTGCAGATTGACAAGGCCTGGGACCTGACGCGCGGGTCGCGGAACATTACTATCATGATAGCGGACACGGGGGTGCAGAAGGATCACCCGGATTTGGAGGGCAATTTTTGGACGAACCCATCGCCCGGTGGCAGTGGTTTCGGGAATGACGTCCACGGCATCAACGCTTCAGACGACTCTGACGACTTTGACGACGACGGTGGACACGGGACACACATGGCGGGTGTGGCGGCGGCGGTAACCAATAATGGCGTGGGCGTGGCGGGGATCGGCTGGAACACGTTATTGGTGCCTTGCAAGTTCATTGGACCAGCGGGCGGTAGTATGGGTCACCTGAACAAGTGTTTGGAATATGCCGTAGAGAAGAAGCTAGACGTCGTTTCAATGAGCTTCGGAGGTGATGTGGCTTTTGACGGAACGAAAACGGCTTGCCAAAAGGCGACCGAAGCGGGGATCTTTCTGGCCGCGGCCTCTGGTGACGCCGGAAAGGACAACGACTCCTCGGGTGCTTGGCCGGCAAACCTCAGTGCCGAAAGCGACATTGCCCTAGTCAGTGTCAATGGCTACTGCAAGAATCAGACACTCATTGACTATGGGAATTACGGCGCCAAAAATGTCGAAATTGCTGCTCCCGGGGATTACGTCTTCGCAACCGCCTGGCACACCTCATATGAATACAGAGGAGGCACATCCCCCGCCACCCCCTGTGTCGCCGGTATCGCCGCTCTGGTTAAGGCTGCCAACCCCGCACTTACTGGCCTCCAGATCAAAGATATACTCAAAACCACCAGCACGAACGTCCCCCAATACCAGGGCAAGCTCGCATGGGCCAGTAAACCCAACGCCCTTGCAGCAGTACAGAAAGCACAGTCCTCCTGACAGGCCTCTCCTTAGCACTCGAGGTTGCATGGCACTCGGGCTTGCATAACACTCTCGAGCTTGCATAGCACTCTCGAGCTACATCTTGTGGTTTTCCTCATTGCCTTCTCTTGACATCACCTTACTGACGAGAAGAATGAATGACGGACGGATGGAGAGAATCATGGCAGACCAACTGACGACTGACACAAAAATAACATTTGTCTAAACACTGCTCAAGTCACCTTGATCCGGGCTACTTTCACCCCGGTTCACCTGCGCCCTGGCGGCTCACCCCCAGCAGCAGTGAAGGGAACCACGTGATGCAAGCTGCGTGAAACGAGTACGGCTCTTTATCTCGGGCTAAGATACTCACTCTCGCGAGACAGCTTGACAGTCGAGATGGCAGCCCATTCTCCGTCTGTTCGCCGCTATTTTCTCTCCATACAACCATCAGCTTCCTTTTCGTTAGTCCCACCATTTAGCTTGACAAAGCTCAATATGGGTTGTACCTCGTCCCCGCTAGAAAATACGGAAGGTCTGCGTCTGTATATTCGCTTACGGTGGGGTGCTGGCAACACGGCCTGGTATCCGGTTGGGACAGGCCCTCCGGCTGGCGGTGTGTTCAGCGGGACTTCTTCATGCCCCATTGGTGGTCTCGCCGCAGGTGCCATCCGCGCTCCACTGTAAACCGAGCCATTGTACGCCGATCCATCGTACGCCGATCCACTGTAAACCGGTCCATTATGCGCCGATCCATTGTACGCCGGTCCATTGTACGCCGGCCCGCTGTACGCCGGTCCATTGTACGCCGGCCCGCTGTACGCCGGTCCACCATGTGTATGTGCTGCTGCATTGTATGGCAACGCATTGTAAGGTGGTTGGTTGTACGCTGGCGCGCTGTTTGCAGTTCCATCGTGGGGTCCGTTGCGTATGTTGTGTGCGGTGTTGTGTGCAGTGTTATCGTGTTGTAGTAGATGTGCGATGTGGTGTTCTTCGTTTTGTTTGACGTTGACCTTGAGGCGTTTGTTTCCGACGCTGAAGCCGTTCATGTGCTGGATAGCCTGGGCGGCGGCGGCGACTTGGTCATAGGAAACGAAGGCAAAGCCACGGTTGCGGAGGGTGGCTCTATCGGTGGCAATGGAGGCGGAGGTGACACGGCCGAAGGGACGGAAGTGTGCGACCAAATCGCGTAAAGTCCATTCCGAAGGCACGTGAAAGATGAACAGGTTCGCGCCCAATGGGCCCTGGAAGTCGAAGTCTGCCGGCTTCTCCCATTGCGTCACACCTGTCTCCTCGTTGTAATAATATTCAAGTCCCTCCTCCGCAGTAAAGTACTCCAACCACGCACCGTTCGTACGCGGTGACCCCATCCCGCCCCACCCACCCCGGAACGACGCCCCCCTCGCCGCCCCATCCGCGTGGGACCCGACCGGCAAAGACCCCGCGCTCGCCATTGCAGGGGCCATAGCCCCCACGGGCGGGGGCACTGCCATCGCCGGAGGCACTGCCATTGCCGGCGGCACAGCCATGGCGGGTGGTACTGCCATCGCCGGAGGCACTGCCATCGCCGGGGGCACAGCCATCGCGGGTGGTACTGCCATCGCCGGAGGCACTGCCATCGCCGGGGGCACTGCCACCGCCGGAGGCACTGCCACCGCCGGAGGCACTGCCATCGCTGGAGGTACTGCCATCGTCGGCGGCACTCCCATCGCGGGTGGTGGCGCCGTGACGGGGGGTACCGCTAGGGTCATGGCTGGCGGTGCCGCCATGGTCGTGACCGTCATGGTGTGTGCGGGTGTGGAGTGCGTGGGCATTTTGGCTTCGGCGAACTTGACTTCGAGCGGTCTGCAGGTGGCAGGCGTTTCCTTTCCGCGGAGGGTGGCGATTGCGTAGAGGGCCTGTTCCTTTGAGGGGAGGCGGACGACGGCGCAGCCGCGGTTGAGACCGGTGGCGGGGTCCTTGATGAGGTGCACGTCGTCTACGGGGCCGGTGGTGCGGAAGAGGTGTCGGACTTGGTCTTCGTCGACTTGTCGGTCGAGGCCGGCGACGAAGAGGCGGGCGCCATCGAGGCCGGGGATTGCAGCTTCGGGAGGGATCCCGAGTGCGCCCAGCTCGTTGGTGGCGTACCGCACTTGCAACGGGTCGGCCGCGGGATCGAGTCTATGCACGCCGCTTAGAGCGCGGATCGCGTAGTCCGCCTCTGCAAGCGAGCCCATCATCACGAACGCGCTACCCTTCGGTGCCCCCGTCGCCCGTTCCTTTAACAACACACACTCCACCACCTGCCCGAACCGCTCGAACAACACTCGCAACGCATCCACCGCATCCTCTGTTCGCGGGACACTACCCACAAACAAACGCACCGCCACCCGTGGCACCTGGGCAGGTAACACAACCCCCGCCGACCGTCGCAGGTCATAAGCCGAACCCGAGGTCCCGCAATCCGAAGTCCCGCAACCTGAAGCTGCAACCGCTACCGCGTGGTCTCCCTCACTTAACATTGGTCCAGCTACTGACGCCGGAGCTCCGCCAGTCGCACCTCCGCCCCCTCCTCCTCTAACATCGCCCTCCGCATTACTCTCCACATTGTTCTCCACATAGCTTCTCACTTCGTCTCCAGCGTGGTCTTCCCCACTACCTCCTACGTTGCCTCCAATGTTGCTTCCAGCAGTGCCACTCGTAGCACGTTCACCACCAGCACCAGCCTTGACCTTCGCCTCGGCCTCAGCCCGATGCCGCCCAACCCGTTCCTCGCCCACGTTCGTCTGGGGCGCCTCAGCTATGGCCCTTTCCTGTGATTTCTCGCCCGCCAGGACTGGCTGGTCGGAAGTAATATTCTCTGTCGTGGAACTCGCCACGTTTCCACCTTCCGATCTGTCCTCTGCATGTTCCGCGGTGTCATCTGATTCGTCTTTAGGCGACATGGCTCCTGCTTCTAGCTGCCGTTCATCCGTCGGTTCCTCGACTGCATTCTGGCTCTAAAGTGACATAACCCTAGATTGGAACCATTCTGAAGTGTAACCACTCTAAAGTGCAACCAACTCCTGCGCGGTCCTTCCCAACCGGAAGGTCATTCCCGCGCCTGACCTAGGGCTTACTGCAGGTGATGACGGCAAGCGAACGGCAGCATCAGCCGACGGCACTGGAGGCCGCATGACGCCGAATTTTTTCTCTCCTTTTTGCCTCAACCAATGTTTCTTCCAACCAGTGTTGCTTGCAGCATCTTCGTAACGACCCACATCAACCCCGCCCCGGCAGGACCCGCTCGCTAACGACTCCTAAACCGTGCCTTGGAAAACGCCAACAAATTATTCTAACTCCCGATGCAGCGGTCTGAGTTCCCGATATGTTCGATATGCGGAGGTTCGATTCAAACAATTCAATTCAGTAGTTCCGCACGTCATTCAGTTTACTAAAAATTGACTTGGCTCGATTACAGATTGACTTCTCTGGAATGTTGGGGGACGGCCTCGGGCGTCACCGGCTTCACGAGGTGAGACGTGGAGCAAGACGACGAGTAATTCGCCATTTAAATCCGCAATCAAAATATCGACGGTCACAGTTCCCACCTAGGTTATTCGTGTCAGAACAACTCTCAGAGAACCGGGAAGATCGCCCTCAATGGCTCAATCAAGTACGAGTTACGCAGGTAGGGGGAGGTGGGTTCTGTCCCTACTCACCAGCCGCCTATTCCGACTATTGGTCTGACTTTTGGTCTGACTTTTGGTCTGACTTTTTGGTCTGACTTTTTGGTCTGCTAACTAATGTCTCGCTTCCGCTAATAAACTTCGGTGGCTAGCTGCTGTACGGCTGGCTGATATACGGCTGGTTGATATACGGCTAGTTGATATAGGCTGCTTGATACCAATACGGCTTTCGGGGATCGGACAGATCCGATCTTCTTCGAAAGCCCCTCCTAGCACAGCACGCATTACAGCTCGTTCTGATCCTGTCGCCACGCTCAACCCCTGACGTAACAAACGTTCTAGATGGTGTCATACTTTAGTCTCAGCCAACAGCAGATACGCCTGGTGTTATTAACGGGCAAATGGTCCAATCATATCCTCAAAGAATTTACTGGCAACGGTGCTCTTATATCCAGTTCCACTCACCCCCTGATTGTCTGATTCCGAGCTCTCATCGTCCATAATCTGTTCCACGGACTACAAGAAAAGATGTTTGTGTGTGGGCCATCAACGTGTGTGGGCCATCAATGTGTGTGAGCCATGGGGGTGTGTAGCCCGTCAAAGTGTGTGGGCCGTCAGACACCATGGGTCGCAAGGGGTTGTGGGCGGCCGTACCTCAAAGTACATCTCCGTCTGGTTCTGCATTGCTCCGGCATCGAAGCCCGTATTCGCAGCCGTCATTGTGGGACCGGGCTGGGCCCCAGTCGTGGCCGTCGGCGCGGCCGGACTGACCTGGTTGCCGCCCGGGGGGCTACCGGCAGGGGGATCGCCGCCTGGGGAGTTGCTTGGCTCGCCGTTGTCCAACGAGTTTGGGTTTGCCCGGTGAATTACAAAAGCAGCTCCAGCGCCTAAGGCCCCCACTGCGCCGCCGATGGCCGAAATTATCTTAGGGTCTGCGGGCTTGTTTGGCACTTTGCCTTCCTCGCTTTCTACAGAAACTTAGAAATTCACTAAAGAAACACCATCAGAACCGAAACAGGTCAAGGGAAAGTGATCTTACCCGGAGTGGATGCCAAGTTGTCCGTGATCGGAACATCCGTGGTCGTTGTCGAGATGGTGCTCGGAGTTGGTGTGGGGTTAGTGATTGTCGCTATATGAGCGCTGGTCGTCGTAGTTATAGTAGTTGTCGTGGGGGTGGTGGTAGTTGTCGTCGTAGTTGTCGTGGGGGCGGTGGTAGTTGTCGTGGGGGCGGTGGTAGTCGTCGTGGGGGCGG